GTCATACAGAGTGAAGTAAGTCAGAAAGAGAAAGACAAATACCGTATGCTAACACGTATATATGGAATTTATGAAAAAAAATGTCATGAAGAACCTAGGGGTAAGACAGGAATAAAGACACAGACCTACTAGAGAATGGACTTGAGGATATGGGGAGGGGGAAGGGTAAGCTGTGACAAAGCGAGAGAGTGGCATGGACATATATACACTACCAAACGTAAGGTAGATAGCTAGTGGGAAGCAGCCGCATAGCACAGGGAGATCAGCTCGGTGCTTTGTGACCACCTGGAGGGGCGGGATAGGGAGGGTGGGAGGGAGGGAGATGCAAGAGGGAAGAGATATGGGAACATATGTATATGTGTAACTGATTCACTTTGTTATAAAGCAGAAACTAACACACCATTGTAAAGCAATTATACTCCAATAAAGATGTAAATAAATAAATAAATAAATAAATTACACCAGCTGGATCAAGAAAAAAAAGAAAACCTAGGAATAAACCTACCTACGGAGACAGAAGACCTGTACTCCAAAAAGTATAAGATGCTGATTGAAGAAATCAAAGATGACACAAACAGATGGAGAGATATACCATGTTCTTGGATTGGAAGAATCAAGTTTGTGAAAATGAATATACTAACCAAAGCAATCTGCAGATTCAGTGCATTCTCTATCAAATTAAATGGTATTTTTCATAGGAGTAGAACAAAAAATTTCAAAATTTGTATGGAAACACAAAAGCTCCTGAATAGCAAAACAACCTTAAGAAAGAAAAATGGAACTGGAGCCATCAGGCTCCCTGACTTCAGACTATACTACAAAGCTACAGTCATCAAAACAGTATTCTACCAGCACAAAGACAGACTTATAGATCAGTGGAACATGATAGAAAGCTCAGAGATAAACCCACATACCTATGGTCAATTCATCTACAAGAAAGGAGACAAGAACATACAGTGGAGAAAAGACAGTCTCTTAAGTAAGTGGTGCTGGGAAAACTGGAGCCACTTGTAAAAAAATGAAATTAGAACATTCTCTAGCACTATACCGAAAAATAAACTCAAGATGGATTGAAGACTGAAGTGTAAGACTGGATACTATAAAACTCCTAGACGAAAACATAGGCAGAGCACTCTGACATAAATAGCAGCAATATCTTTTTGGAGCAGTCTCCTAGGGTAATGAAAATAAAACCAAAAATAAACAAATGAGACCTAATTAAACTTAAAAGCTTTTGCTCAGCAAAGGAAACCATAAACAAAATAAAAAGAAAACCCACAGAATGGGAGAAAATATTTGCATATGATGGAACTGACAAGGGATTAATCTCAAAAATACACGAACAGCTCATACAGTTCAATATCAAAAATACAAATAACCCAACCAAAAAATGGGCAGAAGATCTAAATAGACATTTCTCCAAAGAAGACATACAGATGGCCAAAAGGCACATGAAAAGATTCTCAACGTTGCTAATTATTAGAGAAGTGCAAATCAAAACTATGATGAAGTATCACCTCACACCAGTCAGAATGGCCATCATCGAAAAGTTCACAAATAATAAATGCTGGAGAGGGTGTGGAGAAAAGGGAACCCTTCTATACTGTTGGTGGGTATGTAGCTTGGTACAGCCACTATGGAGAACAGTTTGGAGGTTCCTTCAAAAACTAAAATAGGACTGCCGTATGATCCTGCAATCCCACTCCTGGGTATATATCCAGAGAAAACCATAACTCAAAAAGATACATGTTCACTGCAGCCCTAGTGTTCATTGCAGTGCTATTCACAATAGCCAAGACATGGAAGCAAGCTAAATGTCCATCAGTAGAGGAATGGATAAAGATGCGGTACATATATACAATGGAATACTACTCAGCCATAAAAAAGAATGAAATAATCCCAATTGCAGCAACATGGATGGACCTAGAAATTATCACTGTAAGTGAAGTACGTCAGACGGGGAAAGAAAAATATCATATGCTATCATTTATACGTGGAATCTAAAAAAAATGACATAAATGAACTTATTTAGAAAACAGAAACAGACTCACAGGCATACAAAACAAACTTATGGTTACCAAAGGGGAAAGGTGCAGGGGAGGGATAAGTTAGGAATTTGGGAGTAATATATACACACTACTATATATAAAATAGATAAACAACAAGGATCTACTGTATAGCACATGGAACGATACTTAATATTTTATAATAACCTATCTGGGAAAAGAATCTGAAAAAGAATATATACACAGACACACACATAACTGAATCACTTTGCTGTACACCGGAAACTAACACAACACTGTAAATCAACAATACTTCAATTAAAAAAAGCAAAAAAAAATCAGTTGCATTTCTATACACTAATAGTGAAGTATCAGAAAGAGAAATTAAGAAAACAATCCCATTTACAATCACATCAAAAAGAATAAAATACCTATAAAAAATTAACTGAGGAGGTATAAAACCTGTACAATTAAAACTGTTTAAGACATTGATGAAAGAAAGTGAAGGAGACAAAAATAAATGGAAAGGTGTTCAGTGCTCATGGACTGGAAGAATCAGTAGTGTTAAAATGTTCATACTACCCAAAGCAGTCTACAAATTAAGTGCAATCTCTATCAAAAGTGCAGTGGCATTTTTCACAGGAATAGAACAATCCTAAAATTTGTATGAAACCATAAAAGACTCTGAATAGCCAAAGCAATCTTGAGAAAGAAAAAGCTGGAGGAATCACTCTCCCTGATTTTAAACTATATATATTACAAAACTATAGTAATCAAAATAGTGTGATACTGGCATAAAAACCGACACATAGATCAATGGAACTGAATAGAGTCCAGAAATAAACTCATGCATATGTGGTCAATTAATTTACAACAAAGTACCCAAGAATATAAAAAGCAGAAAGGACAGTCTCTTCAACAAATGGTGCTGAGAAAAGTGGGCAGCCACATACAAAAGTACGAAACGGTACCACTATCTTACACCATCTACAAAAATTAACTGAAAAGGGATTAAGGACTTGAACGTAAGACCTGAAACCATAAAACTCCTAGAAGAAAACATAGGTGGTACGCTCCTTGACATTGTCTTGGTGATGATTTTTTGGATTTGACACCAAAAAGCACAAGAAACAAAATAAGTGGGACTACACCCCACTGAAAACCTTCTGGGCAGCAAAGGAAATCATCAACAAAATGAAAAGGCAACCTAGTAAATGGGAGAAGGTATCTGCAAATCATATATCTGATAAGGGATTAATATCCAAAATATATAAAGAACTCATACATCTCAACAGCAAAAACTCAAACAAACTGATTAAAAAATTGGAAGAAGATTTGAATAAACATTTTCCCAAAGAATTCATAGAGATGTCCAACAGGTACACGAAAAGGTGCTCACTAAGTGTCAGGGAAGTGTACATCACAACCACAATGAGACGTCACCTCACACCTGTTAGAATGGCTACTATCAAAAGGAGAAGAGATAACAAGTGTTCATGAAGATGTGGAGAAAAGGGAACTCTTGTGCACTATTAGAGGGAATGTAAGTTGGTGCAGCCACTATGGAAAACAGTATAAAGGTTCCTCAGAAACTTAAAACTACCGTATGATCCAGCAGTTCCACTTCTGGGTATTTATCTGAAGGAAACAAAACCACTCACTAAATATCTGCACCTCCACGTCCGTTGTAACATTACTTACAATAGCCAAGACATGGAAGCAATCTAAGTGTCCATCAGTGGAAGAATGGATAAAGAAAATGTGGTATATATGTATGTACAATGGAATACTACTCAGCCATAAAAAAGAAGCAAATCTTACCATTTGTGACAACATGAATGGACCTTGAGGGCATTATGCTAAGTAAATAAGTCAGAGAGAGAAAAGCAAATACTATATGACCTAACTTGTACGTGGAATCTATTGTAAAACAAAACAAAATGAAAAAACCTGAGCTTGTAGATTCAGAGGAGAGACTGGTTGTTGCCAGGGGTGGGGGGTAGGCGAAACGGGTAAAGTGGGTCAAAAGGTACAAACTTCCAGCTATAAGACAAATAAGTCCTGGGGGTGTTATATACAGCATGGTGACTACAGTTAATAATATTCTATATTTGAAAGTTGCTAAGACGGTAGATCTTATAAGTTCTCATCACAAGAAAAAAAATTATAACTATATATGCTGATGGATGTTAACTAGACTTACTGTGGGGATCATTTCACCATATACACAAATATCGAATTGTCGTACACCTGAAACCAACATGTTACGCATCAACTATATCTCAATTAAAAAAATTAAGGATTGATTCCACATGGAAACTTACCATAACCTTGTCTGTGCCAGTAGGTGCTTGTGGGTTAATAGGTCACCTTCTTCCTGGCATATCCTAACCAGGGTCTCCTGGAAATAATGCCTAAAGCTGGTGGTTTTCAAATGGGGTCCCTGGAGGTTTGGTTTGGAACCATTGCAAATCACAATGGTTCCATTTCTACTTTTATTTATTTATTTATTTAAAATCTTGGCCTTTGAAGTACGGATGGGAAAATTGGCTTTGCTGCTACAAAAGAGAAAAAAATTGGGAAAAGGAAAACAAACTCAAAACCAACCTGCTCTGAACTCTAAAAGAGATGATCCTTCTGTGGTTCCAAGGCCCAGGAATTAGTCTCCTGGAAGGATACTCAGGGACTTCAGGGGAGAGAGGGGCTCTGACAGTCTTTGTTGTTATCCTCTAAGCTCGATGAACCAGCATCGAGTGGGAGGTGGGAAGCTTTGGCGGTGCCAGGGCCAGGCTGGGCGGCCCCTGTCTGGGACTGGCATGAGAACATATGTTGGCCAAGGGTGGCCCATAGAGTTCTCTTCTGCTTTTAATGACAATTGTTGGGGGCCGGGGGAGGAGACATGTGTTGAAAGCTGAACTAGGCTGGGTACTTGCATTCTCTCATTTAACCCTAACAACCCCCAGGTGGGATGTACCATTTTTTTCTCCATTTTAGAAATGAGACCTAAGTCTCAGAGACCGGGTTTAGTATGAAGTCTTAAAGTGGGGCTGGTAGAAGCAGGACTCAAATCCAAGCTCCCAAGGCATAGGACCCCACACCACCCTGGGACGAATGGTCATTCCTCGATGCACTAGGCGTGCTCACCTGGATGCTGAGGTGTGACCACTAGGTGGCGACAGAGCCTCACAAAGAGTTCCCAGGATTCCGGTCAGGCAGCAGCCTGACACGTCAGCCGGCACCGCAGCAACCCCGGACTCCTGGACCATCGGAGCAGGGCCATACTCCCTCTCTAGGCCCCGCCTTGCATGCCCCAGCATGTGGGAGAGCGGGTTCTGCTGGGAGCCTGGCCTGGATCTAAATCGCAGCTCTGCCACTTCCTGGCCTCTTGTGCCAAGGATGCATCTGAGCATCAAGTTTCTCATCTCTAAAACAGGAGTGATGACGCATGTCCGGGGCTTGCGGATGAGAAAAAGACCTGGCAATGGATGGGTTTGTGGTAATTAAGACAAAGGGAGCATGCACTGCTTGCCAAAGAGAGGTCTCCTGGGGTGTTTTACAATGGCCAACATTTAAACCCTGAAGCATTTTACATAGAAACCCTGAATTTCTAGCTTCTTTTGAGAAGAAGCTGCATCCCACACAGCTGCATCTGCTAGAGCCATACCCTCCAAGCTACCACAGTCCCCACCACTCTCTATTGGGCCTCATTTCCCCCAAGTCTGTCAGCTCACTCAGCCCCTTGGGCCTTGAAGGCAGGGGAGTTTGCTCCTCAGACAAATCTTGGAAGTTAGGAACAGTGCAGTCTGTCCCCATTCTGGGGCAGGTAGGGCTTGGGTGGGTTTTTGTGTATTTCCCTCGGGCCTGGAAGAGAACCTCACCACCTGTGACTCCCACTGGGCACCCCCAGGAAGGAGGGCATGGAACCCAGCTGCTCCAGGCCTGTACGTCCCTGCTGGGGGCCGCGGTGGGCAGACCGCAGACCAGCCTTGGTTTGCCTCCCTGGCTCTGAGGCTTTGGAGGCCAGAGCTCGCTACTGACTGAGGAGGAGATCTCATTTTGAGGCTGGGATGGCCTCCTGGTCCCATCAGCTGCTTGTCAGCTGGGCCTGTGCCCTCTGTTAACCCCAGCATGGCTTCCTTGTATACCGATGGAGTCTCCCCTTCCCCAGAGCCTGCGGAAATGCTCATGAGCCATAGCTCACATCTCAGCTCAAACATCACCTCTTCCCCCAGGGAGCCTTTCCTGGTCCTCTAAGCAGAACCAGCCATCTGCTGCTGCTTCACTGTGCCCACAGCATGCACTGGCGTCTCCTGTGAGACCTATTTTATCCTGCTCAGACAACAGGTGCTTATTTACATGTCTGCCTTTCTCCCTGGATTGTGTTTTCCTGAACGCTGCAGCTCCTACACCCAGCCCAGGACCCACACGAGGTGCTGTAAGCAGCTCCTGGCAGGAAAGAACTCTCGCAGGAGGCCCCCTTTGTCTTGTCACTAACCTTAAACTTGCACCCCCCCATGCTCTACTCATCTCCAGCCCTAGCACACCTTTCAGATCTTTGGATCGCATAATACTCTGCCCAATCTGTTGGTTCTTTCCATAGATCACAGAAGTAGAAATGAATAAGTAATTAACAGATGACCAGATCTCTTCCCTAGCTTCCCCCTTCAGTCATCTCACAGACAAACTGTGTAAGCAAGATAGCATCTAAAGAAAAATCAAAAGAAGTCGACAAGTCTGCACATAGTCGGAGATGGTGATGACTGTGACACACACACACACACACCCCGCCCCGTCTCAATGATTAACTGAGACTGCTTCCGTCTTTCCCTTTGAAAACTTTCACGGCCAAGTGAATCTTCAGATGTGGTTTTTGGGGGACACTGAGTCCACCATCTCCCCAGATTGCCAGCATTCTGATTAAAAGCAACTTTCCTTTCTACCAACATTTGCCTCTCTCTCGAGTATTGATTTTTGAGTGGTAAGCACCTGGCCCTGATCCAGTAACAATGCCTGAGAGACGTTTCTGAGGTGAGTGAAAGCGTGCAGTGTTGGGGCAAAAGCAGGGCTGCCCAGAGAAAAGTATTTGGATGCAAAACCATTTTTTTTTTTTTTGGCTGCGCTGCATGGCACGTGGTATCTTAGTTCCCCGATCAGGGATCAAACCCGCCCCCTGCATCAGAAGTTCGGAATCTTAACCACTGGCCCACCAGGGAAGTTCCCGCAAAACCATTTTTAATATGAGACTCTTAGAGACTTGGGCCCTTTAGGATTTGGGGCTGAAGAGCACTAAATATCTGTCCCCAGGCTTGGCATGAGGATCCTGGCAGGAACATCCTTTACTTGGTTCCTCCCATGGGTAAGAGAAGGGGCCGGGGGTCTCCCCAGGGCCACCTGCTAACTCTCACCTGACTCGCTGACAAGGGCTGGAGATGGCAATTCTCTGGGTTCCTGATTCATTCTTCCCATCCTGATTAAGACAACAGCAGAGCGTTCCAACATTCCTACCAACAACACACCTCTCTACCAGACCAACAGCTAACGTCGGTGTGGGAAGGGCAGGGAAGGTCCCCAAGCTCTGGACAGAGCCCAGCTGCTCCAGAGTCTGGCTGTCACCTTCTGTCCTTCACCTGCCCACGTCCAGGCTCAACTTGCCAAGTGCTTTCTCAACCCTCAGCCCCCAGGAACACCCCTGGAGGGACGTGGTGCTGTCATGCACAGCACACCGGGGAGAACACGGAGGCAAGAGGTGGAGTAACTTGGCCAAGCCCAGATGTGTCTGACGCCCCAGGCTTTATGGAGGGCTGCCCTGGCCCTGCCCCCGGCTCTCTCTCCTCTGCACTTCACCCATGACCAGCAGCCCCAGGAACAGAGATGTTAGGAGGCCCTGGCCCCAGGGAACTCTGAGGCTCCCGGGACATCCATGGTACCTGCTGTCCTAACCTGGCTGGTCTTCCCTCCAGCCACCCCCCGTCGTGAAACCACCTTCTCTGGTCGCTGCCTTTTCATCGTCCCTCAGGCTTGTCGCTGCTGTTCTCCCAGCCTGCCGGCCCACTGCTCTCCCTGATCACACAAATTCTTCAAGACCCCTTGCAAATGGCTCCTTCTCCAGGAAGCCTTCCTGGGTTAGCTAGCACTTCTCAGCCTCACCTGGAGGCCCCTTAAAACCAGTGGCTGGGCCTGACCCCAGAGCTTCAGAGCACATCGGAAGATGTGCATTTTTCTAACAAGTTCTGGGCTGCTGTTGCCGCTGCCGCTCTGGGGCTTCACCTCGAGAACCACTCGTTTGCACCAATGGTTTTCAACTGGGTTTGTTGGAGGTGTATTGGGGGCCTTCGTGAGAGTTTGTGTGAAGGAGGAAACTTTGCTCCCCCTGCCCCAGCCCAGCAGGGCAGCTTTGCTTCTGTGCGTTTAATATGATGGAGTTCCATGTAAAGTTCTGATTGAAGAAGGGATTTAGTTACTGGGAAAAAATGCTGCCCTTCACTCACCCTGATCACATGTGCTCTCGCTTCCAGAGGGGAAGGGCTGGCCTCTGGATGTGGAGTTTTCCCCAAGCAAAGGCTCTCCTTCCACGGGAGGTTCTATGTGATTTTAAGTGTAACACAGACAAACATTTCTCACTTGAGGAGCTGCTTTTATAAGTATTATAAAAATATTTATAACTAAAATAATTTTTAAATGTTAATAGTCTAGAGTTCATTTTACTGAGAAGCAGGAGAAAATTCTAACGTGTTGGACTAGCAGAGCTGTGATTTCACAGATGCCATTGCTCAAGCTGAGGCTAAATTTAAAAAGTGAACAGATTTAAAGCCGACGTAAGGTAGCGGGTTAGGTAACAGCCCAGCTGACATACTGATAATGTAAAAATCAGGGTGATGGTTGGAAAGACTGCAGTTTAGGAAAAACTGTCCTTTAGAACAGTTTGAAAGTCACTTGAGTCCTGCTCCCTCCGTGCTCTGGAATATCTTCCCCTTGAGTTCCATGCTCATCTCCCCGTTTTCTTTCTTAAACTAATGCAAGATTAGGATGACGTTTTGAAAAGGGCATCTCGTAAAGCAGCCTCGTCCCCATTGGAGCACAGGCTCCGGCCCAGTAGCCAGCTGGCCATCTACCTTATGGTAATGAGGTGTCATCTCCCCACGGGGTCTGCCTTCCGCCCTTCCACTCCTGCCTCTTCCTCCGAGACCACCTCTCTCGCTCCCACCCGCCACTCTGTGCCAGCGGAAAGTGGGGGGGGGGGCAGGGAGAGGCGGCATCAAAGCCGTCCTGCATCTTCTCCTAGTGCTGGAAGCAGGCGCGAAGATGCGAGGGGGGCTTGTGCAATGGGGGCGGGACTTTGGTCCTCACCTGTACACCGTGGTCGGCGGGGAGCTCAGGCTGTCGTAGACGAGCCTCACGTGGCCCTGGTACAGCTCCAGTGCCAGGGGGTCATTGTCTCCCTTGTAGAGAAGGATGCCGTTGTCCTTGTCTGTGGCCACCTGGAGGGAGTCATGAGGGTCAGGGCTGCCCCGAGTCCCCACCTCTCCCGTCCCCGCCTCACAGAGCCCTCTTCCAGGCGGCCTCTTCTGAATGAGCCCTGGATCTGAATTCATGTTCGTACTTCCTCCTTCATCTAGTCTGTTCATTTCCATAAGGAAGTCCTATACTTAATGCTCCAGCAAATGCTGATTGAGCAATTCAACAAATATTTATGGAGTCCCCTTTATGTGCTGCTATGTTTTTATGTATGTGTATGTGTGTGTGTGTGTGTATATATATATATATACACACACATATATAATAAATGCCTGGAGCCCTGAGCTCTGACCTAGCCTCTTGGGGCCTTGGTCTCTCTGTATAAAGTATAATAACAATTATAAACAAAATACTACCAATTACTACTTAATTCTGTGTTTACTATGAACCAGGCAGCGTGTTAAGTGTCACCTAGGGAATTTTTTAAAAACACAGCATCTGGGCTTCACCTCAAACCACTTGCATACAGATCTCCAGAGGCCAGACGCAGGCAAAGATACGAACTGCCCCAGGAGGTTCTAAAGTGTTGCCAGGCTGAGAAGCACTGGTCTCAAAGCTGCTGCCCAGAGGGCGTCTGTTTGCCAGGCACAGGGCAACAGGGGTGGGGCTCTGTGACCAGCCTCTTGGCCCCCACAGCCTAGCCCAGGAGCAGCTGATGGTGGCCTGGGGCCAGACCCTGGCGGAGCCCAGGTCCCCGTAGGAGCCCTTGCCCATGAAGCTGACGGGGAGCAGGGGGTCTGATAGGACACTGGGCTGTCCGGGGCACTCGGTGCTGCACTGGGTATTGGGATGTAACACGTGCGTCCCTGGGTGTCTGGGACTGAGGGACGAAGGCAGGACGGCGACGCAGGGACCAGGGGCGAGGGCAGTGATGGCAACCAGAGCTTGTTTCTTGTGTGCGCCTGGGGTCAACCCCCATCTCAGAGGCCTGCCCGCTGGACTGTAGGCCCCACGAGGTGAGGCCGTGTGAACGTTCACACATCTCTGCAGCCCCAGTGCCTCGAATGGTACCTGGCAGGGGTGGAGGCCCAGTGGATCTTTGTTGAATATTTTCTCCACAAGCTTATACCTGGGCTAGTGTGGCCATAACTAGAAGGAAGAAAGGGCCTTAGCTAATGCTATGTGGCGGAGCCACTAACTGGCCTGCGCCCTCTAGCTGTGTCTCTGGGGTCCCCCCTGCCCACCGAGCCTACAGGCAGGGGCCTGCTCTTTATCATACCCCTTCCCTTCTCCCTCTGCCCCCCAACAGCATTGAGGTCACCCAGAAATGTAGCCTGGAAGAACTAGTCAGGTCCATAGGTAAGGAACTCGACAGAAGTTAGTTGGAAAAGAATTTGGTTCATACTGAACGGTTTCCTGTTCCCTGAAAAATGCCCTGCTCCCTTGTGCCTCTGGGCCTTTGCACACGCTGATCTCTGAGGCTGGAATGCACCACCCCCCTTCATCCTGCACCATCAGCCCCTCACCCTTCCGCCCTTCTCCAGGCAAGCTCCTACTCATCCTTCAGATCTCAGCTTAGTTCTCGTTGCCTCTGGGGAGGCTTCCCTGATTCTTCCCAGCAGGCTGGTACCACTGCCCCGCCCACATGCTCCCACAACACCCAGGGTTGTCATCCCGCCCTGGGCAAGGGGCTTTGCCTGTCTTGTCCACCATTGAATCCCCAGTGCACAGTGTCTGGCATGTAATAGTTGAATGAATATTTCCTAGAGAAAAGAATGAATGAGGCTGGAGTGGGGGCTGCTCTTTGCAGTGAGAGCTGGTCAGGAGCTGTCTATAGAACCCTCTGGACAGAGCTGGTCCCAGTCTCCCCAAGCTGAGTGTTGTCCCTTACGATGTGTAGGGAAGGGGGCAGGACTGCTGCCATCTGGGGCATCCCAGCTGTTCTCGGAACAGTCAGAGCTTGGGGGCATGTTAGGGTCCCTCCAAGGGCTGGGTGGGTGGGGCGCACCTGCAGGGAGATGTTGGCCTGGGGCCGGACCTTGGCGGAGGCCAGTTCCACGTAGGAGTCCTTGCCCACGAAGTTGACGGTGATGAGCTTCTCGCACCTTGGGCCGGCAAAGCCCGGGGGGCAGCGGCAGGTGGGCTCCTGCTGCACCACGATGCACTGGGCCCCGTTCTGGCACTCGTACTGGTCGCAGGGGCTTGTCTGTAGCAGGACCATGGGCGGGGGGTGCTCGCAGTAGAGCCCGCTGGGAGGGAGGAGAGGAGGATGGGGGGAGGGAAGATGGGGAACGGTGAGAGGAGACATCAAGTTATTTAGGCCAGAGAGCCACTAGCAGAGACCGTGGCATGAGAGGGAACTGAGACTAGTTCCAGCCCTGCTAGTGACTGGGGCAAGGCCTGATCCTTCTCTAAGCCCCAGATTTCCCTTTTTCTTTTCTTTTTTCGGTACGCGGGCCCCTCACCGTCACGGCCCCTCCCGTCACGGAGCATAGGCTCCGGACGTGCAGGCCCAGTGGCCATGGTCCACGGGCCCAGCTGCTCCGCGGCAAGTGGGATCCTCCCAGACCGGGGCACGAACCCGCGTCCCCTGCATCGGCAGGTGGACCCCCAACTACTGCGCCACCAGGGAAGCCCTCCCATTTTTAAAATAATGGGGTCAGACTAGAGCACAGGTTCTCAATATCAGCGTCATCAGAATTGCCTGCGATGAATTTGTTGAAAGTGCAGATTCTCATCCAGCCATGGATCAGTGGATAAGCAAAACGGGGTACGTACACACAAGGGAATAACACTCCGCCTTGAAAAGGGCATTCAGACACATGCTACAGTATGGATGGACCTTGAGGAGATTATACTAAGTCAAAGAAGCAGAGAGAAAAAGACAAATGCTGTCTGATTCCACTCATATGAAGTATCCAGAGTGGTTAAACTCATGGAAACAGAAAGTAGAATAGTGGCTGCTGGGGGACTTAGCTGGTGGTCCAGGGGTTAAGACTCCATGCTTCCAATGCAGGGGGTGTGGGTTCAATCCCTGGCCAGGGAACTAAGATGCCACGTGGTGCGGCCAATAAATTAAAAAAGAATGGTGGCTGCTGAGGCCAGGGGAGGGGGAACAGGAAAATGTTTAATTGGATACAGAGTTTCAGTTTGCTAGATAAAAAGAGTTCTGGAGGACTTCCCTTGTGGCGCAGTGGATAATAATCTGCCTGCCAATGCAGGGGAAATGGGTTCAATACCTGGTCCAGGAAGATCCCACACGCCGCGTAGCAACTAAGCCCGTGCACCACAACTACTGAGCCTGTGCTCTAGAGCCCGCAAGCCACAACTACTGAGCCCATGTGCCCTAGAGCCCACATGCTGCAACTACTCAGCCCGTGTGCTGCAACTACTGGAGTCTGCATGCCTAGAGCCCGTGCTCTGCAACAAGAGAAGCCACCACAATGAGAAGCCCATGCACCGCAATGAAGAGTAGCCCCCATTAAGAGAATTCAGCACCACCAAACCAGCTTTACAACAAATGCTAAAGGAACTTGTCTAGGCAGGAAACACAAGAGAAGGAAAAGACCTACAAAAACAAACACAAGACAATTAAGAAAATGGTAATAGGAATATACATATCGATAATTACCTTAAATGTAAGTGGATTAAATGCTCCAACCAAAAGACATAGACTGGCTGAATGGATAGAAGAATAAGACCTGTATATATGCTATTTACAAGAGACCCACTTCAGATCTAGGAACACATACAGACTGAAAGTGAGGGGATGGAAAAAGATATTCAGTGCAAATGGAAATCAAAAGAACACTGGAGTAGCAGTTCTCATATCAGACAAAAGAGACTTTAAAACAAAGAGAAAGAGAGACAAAGAAGGATACTACATAATGATCAAGGGATCAATCCAAGAAGAAGATATAACAATTGTAAATACACACCCAACATAGGAGCACTTCAATATGTAAGGCAAATGCTAACAGCCATAAAAGGGGAAATTGACAGTAACACATTCATAGTAGGGGACTTTAACACCCCACTTTCACCAATGAACAGATCATCCATAATGAAAATAAATAAGGAAACACAAGCTTTAAATGACACATTAGACAAGATGGACTTAATTGATATTTATAGGACACTCCATCCAAAAAAACAGAATACACTTGCTTCTCAAGTGCTCGTGGAACATTCTCCAGGATAGATCATATCTTGGGTCACAAATCAAGCCTTAGTAAATTTAAGAAAATTGAAATTGTATCAGGTATCTTTTCCGACCACTACACTATGAGACTAGATATCAATTACAGGAAAAAACTGTAAAAAAATGCAAACACATAGAGGCTAAACAATATGCTACTAAATAACTGAAGAGATCACTGAAGAAATCAAAGAGGAAATCAAAAAATACCTAGAAACAAATGACAACGAAAACACGACAACCCAAAACCTATGGGATGCAGCAAAAGCAGTTCTAAGAAGGAAGTTTATAGCAATACAAGCCTACCTCAAGAAACAAGAAAAATCTCAAACAACCTAAACTTAAACCTAAAGCAATTAGAGAAAGAAGAACAACCCCCCCCCCCCCACCAAGAGTTAGCAGAAGGAAAGAAATCATAAAGATCAGATCAGAAATAAATGAAAAAGGGCTTCCCTGGTGGTGCAGAGGTTGAAAATTTGCCTGCCAATACAGGGGACATGGGTTTGATCCCTGGTCCAGGAAGATCCCACATGCCGCAGAGCAACTAAGCCTGTGCGCCACAGCTACTGAGCCTGCACTCTAGAGCCCGTAAGCCACAACTACTGAGCCTGTGTGCCACAACTACTGAAGTATGCATGCCTAAAGCCTGTGCTCTGCAATAAGAGAAGCCACCGCAGTGAGAAGCCTGAGCACCACAACGACCCAATGCAGCCAAAAATAAATAAATAAAATAAATAAATTTATTAAAAAAAAGAAATAAATGAAAAAGAAATGAAGGAAACAATAGTAAAGATCAATAAAACTAAAAGCTGGTTCTTTGAGAAGATAAACAAAATCAATAAACCATTAGCCAGACTCATCTAGAAAAAAAGGGAGAAGACTCAAATCAATAGAATTAGAAATGAAAAAGGAGAAGTAACAACTGACACTGCAGAAATACAAGAGAGATTACTACCAGCAACTATGTGCCAATAAAGTGGACAACCTGGAAGAAATGGACAAATTCTTAGAAAAACATAACCTTCTAAGACTGGAACAGGAAGAAACAGAAAATATAAACAGACCAATCACAAGCACTGAAATTGAAACTGTGATTAAAAATCTGCCAGCAAACAAAAGCCCAGGACCAGATGGCTTCACAGGAGAATTCTATCAAACATTTAGAGAAGAGCTAACACCTATCCTTCTCAAACTCTTCCAAACTATAGCAGAGGGAGGAACACTCCCAAACTCATTCTACAAGGCCACCATCACCCTGATACCAAAACCAGACAAAGATACTACAAAAAAAGATGTCACAAAGAAAGAAAACTATAGGCCAATATCACTGATGAACATAGACGCAAAAATCCTCAACAAAATACTAGCAAACAGAATCCAACAGCACATTAAAAGGATCATACATTATGATCAAGTGGTGTTTATCCCAGGAATGCAAGGATTCTTCAATATACACAGATCAATCAACGTGATACATCATATTAACAAATTGAAGGAGAAAAACCATATGATTATCTCAATAGATGCAGAGAAAGCTTTCGACAAAATTCAACACCCATTTATGATAAAAACCCTCCAGAAAGTACGCATAGAGGGAACTTTCCTCAACATAATAAAGGCCGTATATGACAAACGCACAGCCAACATTGTCCTCAATGGTGAAAAACTGAAAGCATTTCCACTAAGATCAGGAAGAAGACAAGGTTGCCCACTCTCACCACTATTAGTCAACATAGTTTTGGGAGTTTTAGCCACAGCAATCAGAGAAGAAAAAGAAATAAAAGGAATCCAAATCAGAAAAGAAGTAAAACTGTCACTGTTTGCAGATGACATGATACTCTACATAGAGAATCCTAAAGATGCTACCAGAAAACTACTAGAGCTAATCGATGAATTTGGTAAAGTAACAGGATACAAAATTAATGCACAGAAATCTCTTGCCTTTCTATACACTAATGGTGAAAAATCTGAAAGAGAAATTAAGGAAACACTCCCATTTACCATTGCAACAAAAAGAATAAAATACCTAGGAATAAACCTACCTAAGGAGACAAAAGACCTGTATGCAAAAAACTATAAGATACTGATGAAAGAAATTAAAGATGACACAAACAGATGGAGAGATATACCATGTTCCTGGATTGGAAGAATCAACATTGTGAAAATGATTCTACTACCCAAAGCAATCTACAGATTCAATGCAATCCCTGTCAAACTACCACTGGCATTTTTCACAGAACTAGAACAAAAAATTTCACAATTTGTATGGAAACACAAAAGACCCTGAATAGCCAAAGCAATCTTGAGAACGAAAAACGGAGCTGGAGGACTCAGGTTCCTGGACTTCAGACTATACTACAAAGCTACGGTAATCAAGATAATATGGTACTGTCACAAGAAAAGAAATACAGATCAATGGAACAGGATAGAAAGCCCAGAGGTAAACCCACGCACATATGGTCACCTTGTCTTTGATAAAGGAGGCAAGAATATACAATGGAGAAAAGACAGCCTCTTCAATAAGTAGTGCTGGGAAAACTGGACAGCTATATCTAAAAGAATGAAATTAGAACACTCCCTAACACCGAATAAAAAATTAACTCAAAATGGATTAAAGACCTAAATGTAAGGGCAGACACTGTAATATAAACCCTCAGAGGAAAACATAGGCAGAACACTCTAGGACATAAATCACAGCAAGATCCTTTTTGACCCACGTCCTAGAGAAATGGAAATAAAAACAAAAATAAGCAAATGGAACCTAATGAAACTTAAAAGCTTTTGCACAGCAAAGGACACCATAAACAAGATGAAAAGACAACCCTCAGAATGGGAGAAAATATTTGCAAACGAAGAAACTGACAAAGGATTAATCTCCAAAATTTACAAGCAGCTCATACAGCTCAATATAAAAAAAAACAAACAACCCAATCCAAAAATGGGCAGAAGACCTAACTAGACATTTCTCCAAAGAAGATATACAGATTGGCAACAACCACATGAAAGGATGCTCAACATCACTAATCATTAGAGAAATGCAAATCAAAACTACAATGAGGTATCACCTCACACCCGTCAGAATGGCCATCATCAAAAAAATCTACAAACAATAAATGCTGGAGAGGGTGTGGAAAAAAGGGAACCCTCTTGCATTGTTGTTGGGAATGTAAATTGATACAGTCACTATGGAGAACAGTATGGAGGAGGTTCCTTAAAAAACTAAAAATAGAACTACCATATGACACAGCAATCCCACTACTGGGCATATACCCTGAGAAAACCGTAGTTCAAAACAAGTCATGTACCATAATGTTCATTGCAGCTCTATTTACAATAGCCAGGATATGGAAGCAGTCTAAGTGTCCATCGACAGATGAATGGATGAAGAAGATGTGGCATATATATACAATGGAATATTACTCAGCCATAAAAAGAAATGAAATTGAGTTATTTGTAGCGAGGTGGATGGACCTAGAGTCTGTCATACAGAGTGAAGTAAAGTCAGAAAGAGAAAAACCAATACCATATGCTAACACATATATATGGAATCCAAAAAAAAAAAAAAAGGTACTGATGAACCTAGAGGCAGGACAGGAATAAAGATGCAGACATAGAGAATGGACTTGAGGACGTGGGTGGGGAAGGGTAAGCTGAGACAAAGTGAGAGAGTGGCATGGACATATATACACCACCAAATGTAAAACAGATAGCTAGTGGGAAGCAGCTGCATAGCACAGGGAGATCAGCTCGGTGCTTTGTGACCACCTAGAGGGGTGGGATAGGGAGGGTGGGAGGGAGGGAGACGCAAGAGGGAGGAGATATGGGGATATATGTATACGTATAGCTGATTCACTTTGTTATACACAGCAGCAACTAACACACCATTGTAAAGCAATTATACTCCAATAAGGATGTTAAAAAAAAAACAGAGTAGCCCCCACTCGCAGCAACTAGAGAAAGCCCGCGTGCAACAACAAAGACCCAACACAGCCAAAAAAAAAAAAAAAGAGTTCTGGAGATGGATGGTGGTGATGTTTGCACGGCGATAAGAATGTACTTACTGTACATTTAAAAATGCTTAAGACGGTAAATTTTGTGTTATGTGCATTTTACCACAATTAAAATTTTTTTTGTTTGAAAGTGTGGGTTTCCAACTCCTTCTCCCCACCCCAGATTCTAATTTCGGAACTCTGGGGTGGGGCTCTGGAACTTATATTTTCACAAGCCTGGCATGCAGATGGTCTCAATCAGGCTTTGGAACCAACTGCCTTGAGAACTCATGGTTCCTTCCAGGCTCACGTTCTCAGAGTCTATGACCAGGGCTCGGCTGCACAGTCAGATCTATACCTCCATGAGTACTGACATGTATACAGGACTGTCCCCCAGTCTGACCCCCCTACGTGGTCCCTGCCTCCCCTCCAGGCTCCCCTGGGCCCTTCCCTTCCAGTCAGTGTGGGAGCGAGAGCTGGCACCCTCATACCCCTTCCACGTACCCCAAAGACATCTGACCCCCTGGCCAGGGCCTCCAGTCTCCCATTTCTCTCCTGGATTCACTGATTCCAATGACTGACCCCCACACCCTCCCATTCACCTCCATTTTCCTGCCATTAGGGCACCATACTGCTTTTGTTCTCCAGCCTAGAAAGAAGACTCCTGCCAGCGTGGCCATGTGGCTACCCACACCCTGCAAGCTGGGCTCCAGAACGGTGGCATCTTTCATTAGATGGAATCACGCCGAAGTTTGACATGATATGAGCCGGACCCTAAGTCCGACTTCCACATGGTTGCCTTGGGTACCTCTTTTTTTCCATCTACAGCATGGGGCGAACAAGGTCTGCTCTGGCACTTGGAAGGGCTGAAGAAGGTTTGGGGGAATAAAGGCACCACAGAGACCTAGGGCTAGGGCTGTCTGGGTCGCCACCCTGGCTGCCTGGGCCCACCAGCCCCCAGCCCGCTGCCCCCTGCCATCCGGCCCCTTGACCATACCTGAAGCCCTGGGGGCAGATGCACGTGTAGCCGTTGACCGCATCCACGCACTGGGCCCCATGGCGGCACCTGTGGGCTGCGCAGTCATCACTGTTCACCTCGCAGAGCTTCCCGCTGTAGCCAGGGAGACATTCGCACCTGGAACACAGCGGAGCGAGGCTGTTCTACGGCCTGGCCGGCTTCTAGGCAGCCTCTCCTCTGTCTACCCACGTAGCCAAGTCCCCGCAGCCCTTGTGGGCTCCCCAAAGCCTGGCCTGCAATGGGTCTCCTGGGCTGTCCACAGCCTCTGGTCACTGCAGTGCGATGTCTGCCTGCTTCACGTGGGGCATCTTGTCAGGAGCCGGCTGAGGAGTACAGGGCTGCGGTCACACAGGCTTTGGCTTGGCTCTACCACTGTCTACATAGAACTAATGTCCAGCTTAGCCTGCCTTTGTGCCAGGCACTGAGCTGAGCACCTTTCAGAGTGCCTTGCTAAGGCCTCCCAGCACCCTGTGAAGGAGGGCCGGTCCCCCTCCAATACCAGAGGAAACCAGGGCTCCAGGAGAGCTGACCTGACTTCTCCGAGGCCCCCGCCGTGTAACACTTACATGTGTCAGTGATACTTCGTTTACAGTTAACATGTGTCAGACCCTGTTCTCGGTGTATCTGCCACGCACTGCCTCTCTGTGTTTCAGTTTCTTCACTTTTCAACGTGACTGATGATCAATAACTTCACCTCTTATGGTGGTTTTAAAAATTAAGCGATACACTCTGCGCAGGCCACTAGATCCACACTGAGGAAACTGTCAGCGTGATATGTAGAACGTGCTGATAAGGACACTCCCTTTGATTCTATTCTATTGTTTGTTCATTTTTTCCCAGGGATTCGGGCTGATATAAGAAGGTGAATCCCTTTGCCCTTGATAAATGCCTCCTGGTCTCCAGGGGAGAGGATGGGAGCTACTGACCCAACCCAGGCCCTGCAGGCTGGCCCGCCCCTCCCTGAGGAGCTTGGTGTCAGCAGCTCCATCACGTCCCTGCTAGCCCAGGTTTCAGCCCGGCCAGAGACGGCTGCGGCGGGTCTCCCTAAACATGAGCCTGAGACATACATCTCTGGGCTCCTCTGTCTGGGGTGACAATGTGCCGAAGTCCCAGCAAGGAAGAGACCAAAGGTACCACCTTACTCACAGCGGCTTCAGCACACAGGCACGTGTGAACACAAATGCTTCCTGGCCCCTCTACCTCCGGCAGGGCCTGGAGCCTGCACACCTCTCTGGGCTCACTGGCTGAATCCTGCTGGGCGGAGTGTAAATAATAACCACAGCCTATCCAGGTGAGAGGAGGAAGGTGGTATGGGCAGGGGATGCTGTGGTACGGGTGGCCAGGCGGGGAGGGAAGTGAGACCTTGGAATACTTATGTGACACGGGAGCCTGACGGGAAGCATCAGGACAAAGGGATAGTCGTCCCTCCGCCCTCTCCTCACTCTACCCCCTTTAGGATGGCTGGAAGTGGGCTGGAATCACAAGCAGATCCTGGCAGTGCTGGGGCTGCCAGAACACGGTGCATGCCATGGACTCAGCATGGCAAGGTAAGATACTCAGGGGGTGGGGTGTCCCTGGAGGGGGGCGAGTTCTAGAATCTGAGGATTTACTGGACCTGCGTCCAAAAGCTGTGAAATCTGCTAAGATCTGACCTATTTACCTTTACTTATTTGATGGGTAAATTTGATATATGTGACCTATTGCTGCACCAGAAAGTGCAAACTTTCACGTCTTAGCCCCCATTCCTTCCTAGTCTTTTTTTTTTTTCTTGCGGTACACGGACCTCTCACCGCCGTGGCCTCTCTTGCTGCGGAGCACAGGCTCTGGACGCACAGGCTCAGCGGCCATGGCCCACGGCCCCAGCTGCTCCGCGGCATGTGGGATCCCCCCGGACTGGGGCACGAACCCGCGTCCCCTGCATCTGCAGGCGGACCCCCAACCACTGCGCCACCAGGGAAGCCCCCCTTCCTAGTCTTTTAAAGGAACAGCTCGGGGATGCCTTTTGGGGGCACATGCTCAATATATCACAAGCCAGGCCTCTGCTAGGGTTAAACCTGGCCCCAGCAGGCATCTGTGTTTGTGTCTCCTGAATTCTAAGAAGTACCTGCAGAGCAACTCAAGCTGTATGAGCTTCTCCAAGGCAATAATAGCTGCTCACTACTTACAGGGCAAAACCCAGCCTGATAAGCATGGAATTCGAGGCTACTGAGCAGGTGTTTATGAGGAATTAGGGAAGCCATGCTCCCTCGCAGATGAAGCAGTGGAAGTCTGGAGGAAGATGTGTTTACATCCTTCTTTCCTCCCAGTGCTACAGCCCTCTCCACACCTGCGCTTCCTAAACGAAACACCCAGGGGTCTTGTTAAAGTGCAGCTTCTGATTCAGGGAGTCCGGGTGGGGCCTGGGGATTAGTATTCCCAACAAGCTCCCACGGGATGCTGATACTGCTGGTTCATGGACCTCACCTCCAATAGCAAGGATCTCTACAACACTTCTTCATCGGCCAAAGACAAGCATCTGGTGGTATAACCTGCATTCCCTGTTGTCCTCAAATGTGTTGCCTTTATCTTTTTTCTAAAGCGTAAGGGTTATGCAATTTTGATATGCATTCGACCTACTGATTCTGGACGACGAGTTACCAAGTGACTTCAGTAGCCTCTGGATTTAGCCGAGGAATCAGTCAGGCCTGGATTGACTCGCATCCCTTTCTGTGCACGTGTGTCGGCTGCTGGCTCCACCTCCCTGAGCCTCAGCCCCACACAGGAGGTGGGTAACAGTTTCTACATCCTAAGATTGCTGAGTGTTAAGCGAGGTAATAATGCACAGTGCCTGACACAGAGGGAGCGTTCAGTGCATGCGAGCCACTGCCATCTTTGTTTCTGTTATTATTTTCAGTGTGTATGGGCAGTGTTCATTATTATTTTCAGGGCTTCAGTATATTATTACTTCAGTGTTCACGTCACAGATACTGATAGAGTACTATCTGTTCTGTTGAGTTGAGGCCTCATTAGAACAGCATACAAGGAAATCCCCAAGGATAAACATCTTCCAACTTGGGCAGAGGTTGCACTGACTGCACATCTCTTTTGTTAATGCCCCTGTTCCCTGCCTTGGGATGTGAGTTGTTATGGTGATGGCAGGGGAGGGCGATAACATTATAAAATGCTGCACTGGGAGAAGGGACTTTTCATTTAAATGCATCTCAAAAAGAAAAAAAAAATCGACATTATTGAGTTGGCCTGTAGACCTCTTCAAGATTCTAAGAGACACTGTGCATAAATATATCAATATTATCTCAAGATTCTGAAAGCGAGACTGGTTTCTATATTCTATATTGTCCTTGAACTCAAGGGGTCTTGGTTACAGTAGAGAGAGTTTCCAGGGACAAGTAGTAGAGAATCGTGATCTCTGGTCCTAAGTCTCTAGCACCCCATTCCCAGACCTGTACCCTGGACCACTTCTGACCAGTCTCCAAGCTCGCTATGCTCGTCCAAGCCAGCTTCCTCTGAGCTTGCCGTCCACTCAGCCTGGAATGCCACTGATCTCCTTTCCATCTACAGATATTCTCCCCACTCTTCACGGCTCAGATGCCCAGTCGCCATCACCGCCCCTTCTTAGGTACACGCAAAGCACTTTTCCTGTCAGTCCAGCCGGCTCAGCTTTGGGTTCAAGTTTGTGTTTTAAGCATCTCTTCCTACCCCTTTGCTCTTCCTTCAGTTGAAGAGCAGCCCTGATCTGAATTCAAATCCTGGAGTGGGAAAAGCAGGGTGGGGGGCAGGCATCCCTCGCTCTTACTCAAGCTCAGGGAACTCGATTATGTGAAAGCCCACCCGGCACACCTCCGAGGGGACGGGAGCAGGTGAGGCAGACTTGAAGGAGGGTGCACGCACCAAAGGACCGCAGCCTCCTTTGCTCCCTCTGAAGCCAGAGGCCCTACACGCCTCTTGCGTTTTCCCTGGTGGTAAGTTCTAGGCTTGGGATATCCAGATAGAAAAGGAAAACACAAGAAGAGGTGCTTATGGCCCCCTCTCACCCTCACCTACTCTAGACTCTTCTCCCACCTGTGGGGCTCCCTCCTTCTTGCAGTGCATCCCAATTCCACCCATTCTTTGGTGGTCACTTCACATCCCACCTCCTAGGGTTGGGGGGGGCTTCCCGCTCTGCTCCAGAAAGTTCTCCCCCGCCCCCTCCTCAGACCCCCAGCAGCACTTAGAGCCATGATCTAGGACCCTAGGAATTGCTTCTTTTCTTAACCTTTGTTTTGTGTCAACTTTTCCTCCCCCAGGTCCACGGCAAGGGCCTTGGAGGGAGGGAATTGAAAACCTCCTGCGCTATACCCACTGCCTTCAGTACAGTGAGGATCTGGGGCCTGAGGGAGAGGGAGAGGGAACAGAGAGGACAGACACAGAGGCTCAGAAAGAGAGACAGAGAGAGACTAAGAGGATTAGACCATGACTGGTCAGAGATACAGACAAGCACACGGTAACAAACAAGTAACAGGCAGAAAGAGAGAGAGAGGAAAAAAAAATGTGGAGGGAGCCCCAGAGTGTCTGCCTCAAACCCAGACCGCTGGAGCCGGGTCCTTGGGACCCGGTGCTGGGCATGAACGAGCCTCACCTGAATCCTCTGTCCAGGGAGACGCACTTTGCCTCATGCTGACAGAGGTTCATCCCGGGCACGCAGTGGTCGATCACCTCGTCGCACAGCTCACCTGGTGGGGCGGGTAGAGAGAACCCAGGCATCAGGGAGGGTGCCGGGGGGATGCCCTGGCTAGAAGTCAGGTTCATCCAGCCCCTGGCCAGGAGGTCACGGGTATCAGGGGCCCTGCATGTGCTCTTTTGGCGTCTCCTTTCTCCTGTGCCTCAGCCTCGGTTTCCCTGGCAGTGACCATGGGAAGACTGCAGGACCTCACCCGGGCACGGTCACTGCACCACCATAGGGGCGGCGGCAGCTGAAATCACCCCTGACCTTGGGCTATGCTTATTTATTTTTCCTTCCACACCCATGTGTGGAGCACCTCCCGTGTGGCAGCACTGTGCTGGGGACACAGCCGTGACCTGGCCCTGTCCCCTCTCCCCCCCCATGGCTAGTGCGGGGGGTGTATCTACAAATAAGCAGGCAATTAATTACAACACAGAGCTGTCAGCGCGATGACGGGAAAACTCAGTGGAAACCCAGAGGCTTCCTGGAGGAGGGGACAGCGCTTAGCTCAGTCCACCTGTTACAGATAAGTAATAAGCCCCTTGGATTTTCTCAGAGAAGAAAATATGGAAAGAATGTGAAGTTCTGGTCTCTGGATACATCCCCTTTGAAATTCACAGTGTCAGAAAATGCCGAACAGGCCATAAATACCCAAGGATGTAAGCCCTGAAATACTGACGCCACCTGAAAGTGTGTTTTGGGAATGTGGGAGGTAAGATAGGACAGCAGGGGAGAGGCCCCTGGCAGATGCATCTCTGAGTTTTGCGCTTCCTCACATTCCACCCCCGGCAAGCCAGGTAGAGAGGGATCTAGAAGAAACAAACTTCCAGCCAGGGAGGTTCATTCAGAGGACAGGCGTGGGCAGGAGAAGGCAGCCTGGGCCGCGGCTCCCAGGGGACAGGGCAGAGGACGGTCCTGAGGACGGCCGGGGAGAAAAAGCATGACAGGCATAGCCCTGGCGTCTGTTCTCTGTTGCGGTGAGGATAAGCTGACTCCCACCCCGTCCTCGTTTTGCCCCAGTCTCTCAAGACCACAGAGAGCACCGTGTGCCTTCTAAGCCTCCCCTCACCTGCTGGAGACACCCAGAGAGGTGCGGTCTCTGTGGGGGACACTTTTTGACGTTTTCTGGCACAGACAAAACCACTACGTCCCATTCTCAGGAACAAAGTACAACAAGCCAGAACTGCACCCCGGTCCACGGCAGACGCAGGCGGGAAACCGCCTTAATGCGTGTTTCCTCAGCTCCCTCCACCCGTGCCCATCTGCCCACCGTCAGTTCAGACCCAAACGGAGCATGACCACAATGCAAGTGCCTCTGTGCTGGCTTCAGACACCACCAGGGCTCCAGGGTTCCCGAAGGAGGGGATGAACATGAACCAAATGAACAGACAGCTGAAAGGGCCCTGGGGAACTGTTCAAAGTGGGGAGGAGCTAGTGATTTGCAGGGGGTGGGGTGAGGGGTGGCAGAGGGTAGACAAGCTAGAAGAGAGAGGGCCTCTGGGAAGCCCCTCATAACACAGTACCAGGTCGTGGGGTTCAAGACTTTGTCCAGAGGGGGACAGGAGGTGGAGTTTTTGGAAGAAGCTAAGAACGTGGTGCTCTTCGAACGCACGACAAGCCACAGCCTGCACACGGCAACCCGCGCTCGGGCGTCAGGGCTCACCTGTGTAGTCTGGTGGGCACACACACACATAGGTGTTGATCCCGTCCACACAGGTGGCGTTGTTCTCACAGTCGCTGTCCTCGCAGTCGTCTGGGTTGATCTCACACCGCTGCCCCTCGAAGCCCAGGGGGCAGGAGCAGCTTTGGGGATGTGTGGGTGCGAAGAGGGGAGCCGCGGGTCAGGGAGAGGGGTGGGTTGCAGCGGCAGAGGGGAAGGTGGAAAATAGAATCAGTCAGGTTTCTCCTCTGGATGGAGGTCCGGGACAGCATGGTGGACCCAGGAGGTCTTGGGGTCCTGAGCAGGAAGACCCTTAGGAGCCTAAGAGGGCATTTCATCTAGTCCCCTGTCTCCGGGCAGTATTCCATCTCCCCGGCCCTGGATGGCTACCTCGCCAGGGGGCAATTCCCATTGGCTGTGCCTCCTTCACCGCTCCCCCAGCTGGATGTAGTTTCCTGGGTAGAGCTTAAATTCCTCCAGCTGTCTCCTAAGCAGCCTCTGGGTAGTCTCTTTTGTAGACAAGGAGAGAAAGAGCAAAACGAACCCTGCCCTTTTGGTGATTTTCTACTCAAGGGCATTCTTTGTATCTGGAGCAGGAAACAGATCAGGCTCTGCGACCAGGTTTCTTGGAAGTTAAATTCTGCGTCTCAGTTTCCTTATCTGTTGACTGGTGCTATTATCTACCCGCTGCAGGGTGGCTGCAGGCATTAAATGAGATTATACAAGTAAAACGCTTAGAAGGGTACACAGCACAGCGAAAATGTTCAGAACATGTTAGCTAGATTTAGTTCTAGGCAAAACTAGCCACCTCCTTAACCTTATTCTCAGGGATGCCGTTTCTCCCTGTCAGGTATTCCTGCTACTTCTGAGCCCCCTCCAGCTTCTGGGGGCTGAGGGAAGGGTGGGAGGGCCCCTCTCCTGCCAACACTTTCTGGTGAGCCTGGCTTAAAACACCATAGATGAGTATGATGCATTTCCTTAACCTGTCTCTGGAGTGTTAAACCTCTTGGATAAAAACCTCAACCCCCGTCCTCTGCCCGACCTTGGCCACTTCCCCAGGATTAGACATGCAAAGTCAGTCAGCACTGATGAAGTCGGTTCTGGGCAGCTGACAAGGGGCGGGGTGGGGTGGGGGGTGGGCGCTGGGAGGATGCAGGTGGGAGCCGAGCGTTTGATTAAAGAAGCGCTGCAGGGAATCTCACTCTTTCTGTGGCCCATCCCCCCTCGTCAGGGACCAGGGACATACACCCCCATCCACGAACGTGTGTTCCAGCCTCAGACCTGGAATTCCAGGCCTCTCTCCATTTCAGAGGCTGCTCTGACTTGGGCGTTTAACCAAACAACGAAACTAAGCTAATAGGAAGTGGATTTTTGTGGCCCTAGAGTCCTAAATAACCTCCTTCCCTCTGTGACCTGAAAACTGGGTCACATTTTCTACAAAAGGCTGGGGGAAGGGTCCTCGGGCCTGAGCTCTGGAGCTGGAGCAAAATGACTCTAAGTCCTTTTTGTTTCTCTTAGGGACCCTGGCCATTCATGAAAAAGGTCATTTCTTCAGAGCCAGACAGTGGGTCGTTTTCCAAAGATCTTAAACCACAGTGTTGCCTATTTTCCTCAAATGAGTTACTCTGACTCTCCCCGGAGCTTTAGGACTGCATAAACGTGGGGTGAGAGTGACTGGTCAGGAGAGCTGGGGTTGCTCATGGACTGGACAGAGGGTGGGAAAGAGGCTAAAGTTTTTTTCTGTCCTCGCTGGAAACCTTACGGGAGGTAGGGGCGGTGGAGGGGGTGGGGGTGGAGCTATCAAGGATATCTCAAGAGCAATGTGTGAGCTGCAGGGACAGCTCTCTTTTGAGCAGAGGGACAATATGTCAAGACTGGAGAAGCATCTGTATGAAGAGGTAGGTGATGCTTCCAGAATTCTGACCAGTAAGAGGTGTCATGGATTGAATTGTGTCCCCTCGAAAAGGTATGTTGAAATCTTAACCCCCCCACCCACCCAGTACTTGAGAATGTGACCTAATTGGGAAACAGAGTCACTGCAGCTGTCATTAGTTAACTGAAGACCACATTCACTGGAGTGGGGTGGGCCCCTAATCCTATATGACTGGTGTCCTTATAAGAAGACGGCCATGTGGAGACAGACACAGGGAGAAGGCCATGTGCAGCTGCAGGCCAAGCAATGCCAGAAACTGCCAGCAGCCATCAGAAGCCAGGAAGGGGCGAGGAAGAATCCTCCCTTGCCGGTTTCAGAGGGAACACGGCCCTGCTGACACCTTCAGTCTGGGCTTCTGACTTCCAGAGCTGTGAGAGAATCCATTCTTTGGTTCCAAGCCCCCCAGCCTGCAGTACTTTGTTATGGCAGCTCTAGGAAACAGAGGAGGGACAAGGGAGCAAAGCCTCCGTCTGAACAGGTGGCTCTCCCTTTGCCAGCTTGCCAGGTGCTGCCCTGAGGGGCAGTGCTTTCCTGCTGCTTGAGGATCCCACACGAGCTATACCCTCCCAGAGGTGTGGGCCGCATTGCCTGCACCCTCCATCCCATTTTCCTAATCCTGTGGGTCTGGGCCATTTTCCTTGAAAATTAAGTCCTAAAACTATTTCCAGTTCCTTTGAAATCCTCAACAACGGAGGGTGGAGACGGGTCCTTCCGCTCACCTGCAGAGAGGGGAGCAACACAGTCGCCTGCAGGGGGCGCTCCTGTCCCTTGCCGAGGCGGGTCCCTGGGCTCGGGGGTGGCGGTGAGGGGGCACAGGGGGCGGGGGCAGAGCCAGGCTTTCAGTCCTGGAGGCGTGATTCCTGGCTGAGGCCAGGTGGCCACCACCGTGAGATTTCTGGGTAGTTTCTCCCCCAACCCCCCGGGGCTCTCAGTGGGTGAGAGTGTGTTGTTTGGCCTGCTCCAGGCAGGAAAACCAACTCTGCCTTGCATTTCACATTTTAAGAGTTGATTCTGATGGGGCTGGCTTGGCAGATGGACACGTGGGCGGCTGGGTTCCCTGGGGAGAACCCAGAGCCCAGAACCTGATGTCTTTCGCAGAACACGCAGCAACCCTGGTCAGAGGGCTTTTGATAATTGTTTGCAACCTGAGCGCTAAGACCTCCGCACACAGCTTGCCACCAGATGCCCCCCCTTTACCGCCTGACCCGCTGGCTCACTGGGGGTGCCACACGGGCCAATTGCCCCTGGTCTGCTTTGCCAGGATAGGGCCCGGGAAACTGGACATGTGCACACAGCTGGGAGGGTGGGAAGCAGGGAGGGGCCTGAGGTTTGCCAGAGCGGCAGAAGGCCCGCCCCAAGGACAGGAGTGAGAAGAACCTTAAGTGCCTTCCACCCCTTTTCTTCCTGAGCTCTTAATGCCAGGGAGGAAAGAGGTGAGGCTTGGAGACTCAGGAATGAGTGTCAGGATACGGGACCTAGAGCCAATCAATTCTGTGCCTCAGTTTCCTCATCTGTTAAATGGGGATAGTACCTACTTGTACCGGATAGGGTCCTCATGAGGATTTAAATGAGGCTTAGAGTCACTGCCTGGCACATAATGAGCGTGTAATCGATGTCACCTATTATTATTGCTTTTTATAACACAGAAAAGAGTGGTGGAATTACCAGGCTGGCAGGTCTTTGAGCCATTATCCCATCCTACTCTGACTTTAGCCAGCAACTGTGGCTTCCCTTGGAGGGAAGCCAACTGTGGCTTCCCTTCTCCTGGCTCTGGAGACGGACTACCTGAATTCAGATTCCTGTACCAACGCTTACTGTGTAACTGCGGACAAACGATTTATCCCTTTGATGCCTCGACTTCCTTATCTATACAAGAGGGATAGCAGTAGCTGCCTTATAGGGAGTGAAGAGCCTTGGAGTCATTCACATAAAGGGCTGGGCAGAGTGTGGGCACACACGGGAGGCGCATAGCTGTGCTCCCTCAGCCTTCCCCAAGAGCCTGACCATGAAGACTGAGAGGAGGGAGGGCCCAAGGGTGAGCTGTTACCTGAACCCATCACTGTGGCTCTCGCTCAGGTGGCAGGTGCCTCCGTGCAGACAGGGGTTCTGGAGGCAGGTGTTGATGGGCATCGTGCAGTCTTTTCCCTGAGGAGCAGGAGAGAGAGAAGCGTGTGGTTAGGGAGGCTTTCTGTGGCTGCCATGACGAAGAGACCCCTGTGGGTTCCCAGCGTCCTTTGGGATGAGGTCAGGGAGATGGAGGCCCTCCCTGGGACAAGCCTGCTGTGTGACCCAGAGAAAGCCCGAGGGAGCCCTTGCCTTTGGTCAGTCCACAGTGAGGAGGGGAGGAATGCTGAACTCAGGAGTCTGGGCCCCAGCTTCACTACTTCTCAGACTTCACCCGCTTTTCGCCATCCTTCCCTGTAGGCCGAGAGCAGGGGCTCTGGAGCCAGGAAGACCTGGTTTCATATTCCAGCTTCACCTCTTCCTGGTTGCCTGACCTTGATCTTGTATAATAAGCCTTTTAACTTCTACAAGCCTACCTCATAGAGCTCCTACCAGAATTAAACTAGACCTTTCAATAAGGAAGTGCTTAATATTACATAACACATTTAGCACATAGTAGATGATATTATTACTAGCCTCACTGAGGCTTAACGGTAATCCATAACTTGTAGGCTGGACTACGGCTGAAGTGTGGCCCACAGACCTTGGCCCTGTAAACTGACAGCCCCCCAGAGTCATCTTTGATTGGTCTGTGGGCCCAGGTGTTGGCATTTACTCTCAAGTTCTGCAGGTGATCCTGATGTGAGGCCAGATTGAGATCTCCTGTGAGACAGAGTTTTGGGTGGAGTGGGATTCCTTTGGAGCAGGCCCCCCTGAAGGGGATGTCTGAGCGTGTGTAGGTGGGGAAGAGCGTGTCGGGCAGAAGGAATGGCGAGGGCAAAGGCACTGTGCAGGGAGGCTGAGACAGGGACTGTGGATGTCAAGACCCAGCGTCCGAGGGAGCACTGATCCTCTGCGTCCAGCTTCTCCCCTGGGACCCGTGGATCAGTGCTGTGCCCAAGCCTTGGCCGGCGGTCCTCGGGAGGACCTGGGGGGTCTGGTGGCGGCAGGGAGGCATCTGCTGCGTTTGTTTCTGGGCTGTGGGCTCGGCGTGGGCGCCGTGCCAGGCGGGGCTGATCGCGGGAGTCCTTCCACTGCCACACCACCTGCTCGCCATCTGCCTGAGAAAATCCTCTTCTCTGCTCTGCTGCCGCCGCCAGTGCCTGCGAGGAGCGGACCGGGCTCTGCCGAGTAGTGCCGCCTTCTCACTTTCTCCACGCCGAGCCTCAGGCCCTGTCTCCAGCCATCTGAAGGCAGGCCCGCGTCTGTCTGCTCCCTCTTCGAGCCCCGTCACCAGTAAAGGGCCCGTCAGAGGTTTCTCGGAGGGGACGCAGAGAATGCAGTTCGGGTTGGGGTCTGGTTGTATCCTAAACCAGAGCAATGTGGGATCCCTTTCAGAAAGACCACGTGTCGATGGAAACTGCGAGGCTCGTTCTCACTGTCGTTTATGGAGCGCATTTTCTGTTCCAGGCCTCACGCTAAGTTTTATATCGCGTATAATGTGCGTAACACCCCTGCAAGACTGGTATGGTTGTTATTACCCGCATTCTTACAGAGAGGGAAGGCAGACTTGGAAAGTGAGGTGCTGCACCCACGATCGCACAGCAGTAAGCGGAACAGGCACAGCTGAACCCGACATCCAGTCCAAAGCCAGCGCTGGGAACCGCGATGCTATGCTGGGCACTTATCCTGCCCCTCTCAAAACACGGGCTCTGCAGTTAGGCTGGTCTGAGTGCACATGCTAGTCCGGCTACTGCTACGTACCTTGAGGAAATTACCAGTTCTCTCTGAGACTTTTCATCATCTGTAAAATGGGAATAATGATGCCTACCCCACGGAGTTAAGGAATGATTAGAAATCACACTCATATGAGGCACCTGGTAGGTAATGGTAGCTCCACAGTTAAGAGCTATTCAGAGCATGACCATGCTGATCATGGGGCTCTGAGACAGAGCTGAATGTGGGTAATTAAAAGACTTTTTCAGGTCTTTGGTTGTTGCTAAGTAGTTCACGTGTGTGCACGTGCGTGCGTGTGTACGTGTGTGTGTGTGTGTCAGTGAGTGTGTTTGTAAAGGTTGTGGCCGGGGCTTCTAGCTTCCTTTACAGGAAACCAGCAACATGACACCTGTTCCTGATGACCCACTCCACACCCTGGTATTAGGGACCGGCATACACGGTACAGTTAAAAGGCATCATATGACAGCTGCTGAGGACTTACTGAATGCCAGGTACTGTCCTAGGTGCGCTGCATGTGTTTCCGTACACTTGATTCTCACAGCAAGGCTGTGTGGCAGGTCCCAGTGTGCAGATGGGAGGCCTGAGGTGCAGCCACTGGCCATCACCACCCAGCTAGGGAATGACAAAGCCAGGATCCACACATGCTGCTCTGTGTAAATCCACAGCCTGAGTTTTCTCCACTGAATTAATACAGGGGAGTTTGAGGATCCAGGCGTTTGAGCATGTTTGCTTAATTTCTAGTCTTCCCCTACAATATGTATGTGTGTGTGTACATGTGTGTGCGTGTGTGTACGTACGTGTGTGTGTAGGGGCATGGGTCTGGGACTCCTGTGGGTGTGAGGCCTGGGGTTGGCTGCCTGGGGCAGGGAGGCTGTCCGACTGGCCTCATAGGAAGCCTTTGGCTCTCTTGTCTCAGGCTCAGGCCCATAGGTGGCACTCTGACACTGTCTACTGGAAGCACAGCTACAGCTGAGAAAGCCACCAGGGAGCCCCGTTCCCCAGAGGCAGTCTGCCCCTCAAGCTTGTCACTATACACATAAATCCCCCTGGGGACAGGACACCCGGGGATGCCAGCTCCCTCCTGCTCAGCTTTACCAGGTGGGTGCATCAGACAGGCTGGGGACTGTCTTGAAATTCTCGACGTGCCTAGTGCCTTCAGATGGGTGCCCTGGGATGGCTGGAATCTGGGAAGCCAGGGGGGTGCTGGGGAAGAGGACCCAGTCACGGCTTTGCTGACCCCAGTGAGGTGCAGCGAGGGGTTCAGCTACTCAGGAAACCTCCAGGCGAAAGTGGGGGGGGGGCTTTGGAATCATGTAGCCCTGGGTCTTAACCCAACCCTACTGCTTACAAGCTTGGGCCAGTAAGTCAAGCCCTTTCAACAGTCTGAGGCTCAGTTTCCACATCTGTAAAATGGGAATCAATAATTCCTTCCTCACAGGGGAAATGATGACTAAAATGCCAAGCAGAGTGCTTGGCACATCATCCACACTTTATAGACATTAATATGGAGGCAGGATAATGTTCTAGATGCTGCTGGGTGAGAAGAAAGGAGGGAAGGGTTATTCTGGAATTAGCCTGGATTTCTGGGGAGGACAGGAGAACTGGGATCTCCATCCCAGCCCTTGTTGGCTGATCTGAGCCTGTCAACCGTGAAGGCTGGCCTTTTAATCCTCCATCCCTGTATCCTCCTCAAGCTGGAACCAGTGCTTCCAGGGCTGGCTGTCCTGAGGACAGGGAAGGGAGGTGGGGGGAGGACCTGGGAATCACCCCGGAGGGAGGTCAGTGTGGTGGGTTCAAGGGATGCCTCTACTTGGAGGTACTTTAACTCTCGGAGACTTAATTTCCCCATGTTCAAGGAAGAAAATACAAATATTACATTTCCTCCTTATCTCACTGCATCACTGTCGAGACTACATGGGGTCCTCTATGACGGGTGTGAATGGGATACAACTGGGCAGCCCCCAGCAGTGCTGGGGAGAACGGGAGAGTTGCTGGCAAATGCTGTTTTGGAGTGACCTGTGAAGTGGACTTATCCACTGTCCTTGGGGAAGGGAGAGTCAGCAGTGAACAGTGCCCCTCCCTGGACCGTGGATGGTAGGGGGCGGAGCCTCCCATCATACCTTGTAGCCGTAGGGGCAGGCGCAGCGGTACTGCTCCACGGGATCCTGGGTACATGTCCCGTTGTTCTTGCATGGGCTGGAAAGGCAGGCATTGCACTTGGCCACAATGTTGATGTCCACTGGCCCTGGACAGCAAAACCAGAGTGTTGGTGGCAGGTCCCCAGGTAGGCTCACTGTCACACCTCCCTCCTCCTCTGCTCTGGCCCCTCCCATCTCTGTCCAGAGGGCAGCTGGCCCTCCGCAGCCAGCACATCCAGTCCAGCTAGAGTCCCATTAATTCAGCCGTCATCCAGAGAGGAAAAAAATCACAGCGGGACATCATTCAGAAGCACTTCTCAGTCAGATCAATTACGGTAATTAGCCTGATCTGATTCTGGTGCTAATCTGCAAACAATGCACCATAATTAGAAACCCCTTGTGTATCTCTTTACGTTAGGGGAGCTCTGGGCCCAGGCTCCATTTGGACCTCTCATTTTTCCTTCCCCAAACACCCCTCCTCATAGTCTGTGCAGGGCTAAGGAGGGCACAGTGCCCAGGCCAAAGGCACACATCACATAGGAAGTTCTCCTTGTAGAACCCTTGAGTCGGCAGGAAGAAGTAAGAAATGGGCCCGGAAGACACAGCAACGATGCTGATGAGGGATTACAGTTTCAACTGTGTCCTGCTCTCCTCGGCCATCAGGGCTGGAGGGAGGGAGGCCACGTCCCTACACAGAGCTTTGTAACAGGGGCTGTGCTACCGCTGCAGCCAGTGTGGACAAAGCCCTGGATAATCAGGCCCTATTTCATGTCAGGACTTTAAATGATCCCAGGATAACAGTCATCAGTTTGGAGATTGGCTTGAGACTGACCGCAGGGTGAGTCTGACCATTTGTGGGTGGGGTGAACAGAATGGGCTGATTGAGAACCAATGCCACCTGGCTCAACTCTGGCTTCACCGAAGAACAGAGACATCGTCTGTTCCAGGGAGGCTACGTGTTCCAGGGACACAGTGAAGTTTTAGAGGTAAAGTGTATCTGTAAATCAGAATAAACACTGAGGCCTTAGGAGATGAGCAAAGGACATTAACAGGCCAATGTGTAGTACAAACGGAAAGTAAATTTTTGGGAAAAAAAATAGTTCCCCCAATAATCAAAAACAAAACATGAGGGGATATAATATTTTACCTATTGAATTAGCAATGATTACAAAATGAGATAAAATAATGCAAGGGTCTGATGAAAAATGCACTCAAACGATGCTACTGGGAGTGAAAATTGGTTACAACCCTTTCTGGAAATCAATTTGGCGTTAAGTGTGAAAACCTTAGTAATGACCATATACTTTGGCTCCGTAATTTCCGTTCTCTGAATCTTATTTAAGGGCATAATTTTAAACAGAGAAAGACATTTATGCAGCTGTGGTCAGAAAAAAAAAAAAGGAAATACTCTGAAAGTTCAAAACCAGGAACTGGTTAAAGAAGTTATGATGGAGTGTTACAGCTTGCTGGTTGAGACCATGCACTCTGGAATCAGAAAGACCTGGAATTCTCTTGACTGTGTGATCTTGAGAAGTCATCTAACCTCAGTAAGCCTCGGTTTTCTCCTTTTTAAAAGGAAGTCTACTACTAAAGTAGACTCCACAGAGGTGCTGGGGAATTAAATAAACGACTCCACGGAAAGTGAGAACTAAATAATACATGAAAAAGTGCTTAACATAATGCCTGCCACATAATAAGAACCCAGTAGTTTGTTATCATAATAATCATGCAGTCAAATCAAAATCTCATGTGCCCAAAATGTGCTGTAGTAAAACGGGAAAATGCTTATGCTCTAAGATTGCTGGGTAAAAAATGCAGGTTAGGGCTTCCCTGGTGGTGCAGTGGTTGAGAGTCCGCCTGCCGATGCAGGGGACACGGGTTCGTGCCCCGGTCCGGGAAGATCCCACATGCCGCGGAGCGGCTGGGCCCGTGAGCCATGGCTGCTGAGCCTGCGCGTCCGGAGGCTGTGCTCCGCAGCGGGAGAGGCCACAACAGGGAGAGGCCCGCGTGGCGCAAAAAAAAAAAAAAAAAAAAAAGCAGGTTAAAGATTTTCTCAACTATGCAATAATATGTAGAGTAAGAGGTCAACGAGGAGTATGTAGAAATGGCAGCAGAGGGACTTAGGGGAGCGAATGACAAGTGGACCCTTAGATGCAGGTCCCCATCAGTTTCAGCATCTGAGTCTTTGTGTGGCCAGTGCAAGAACAGGGCGACGGTTTTAGAAGTCACACCTGTGGAGATGCCTATAGCTCTGACAGGCTGCTGGGGACACAGCAGACCCTGCAGGGGGCAGGGAGGGGTGGAGGGGTGAGTCAGCACCTACCTTTGCACTGAAAGCGGTGGGTGGGTGTGGTGAGTAGGAGTCGGTCAGCCATGGGCTCGGGGCTACTGCAGCGGGCGATGCCAGGCTCCTTGTACCCGGCCTTCACCCACTCCGACAGCCAACGCAGGCTGCAGTCGCAGTGGAGTGGGTTGGTTCCCAGTGCCCTACGAGGCAGAGCAGGAAGTCAGGCTCCCCCGCCCAGCTTGGCCCATAGGCCCTGTGGTCTTGGTCCTCTGGAAAAGCAGAATTTTCAGACTTTGGCTAGATTGGGAGTGTCTGACAGGAGGACCAGCAGAGACTTCACTGGGGTGAAGTCAGTAACTCCAGACTGTACCTCCAATCCCTGCAGATGTTTCAACCCCACCCAAGCCCCTCCCATCCCTCAGGCTTTGCTGTCACCTACCCTGGTAAGATTCCATCCTCAACTCACCCCCAATCTCAGCCCCTCCAGGAGGCTCCCTGGACCTCTGGCCATTGATTTTCTGGCTCTCTTGCCCCACTAAAGGTTGCACTGGAGGATGTACTCTGCAGAGAAGGTTTTGATACCCGGCAACCTAGGAAGCAGCTTCAGACCACTGAAGGAGCTCAGAACATGCCACCCCCAAATATGCCGCTTTGTCTATTGACTATTTTGAGGTGAAGGCACTTGAGAAACAGCAGATGCTGTTTCTAGCTAAAAGCAGGTCATATTTCCTATGAGAAAGGTACCCTCCCCGGGCCAGGAAGAGAAGGGAGTTGATGCCAAAATGGATCTGTACAAACAAACCTACTAAAATAACGCTGATCTTCCATCAGTTTCTGCGTGATTTCCTAGTCCCGGTCCCATGATTTACCGCCCCCAGTCCAAGCTCCTCTGTCGTGTCAGAGCCCCACGCTTCATCATTCTTTGTGTAAAAATGGTATATAAGCTTTGGGGCCCAATGGCTTCTTTGGGTTTTCATTCTCCTTTTGAAGACTCCCACATACACATAAAAATATTAAATACATTTGTATGCTTTTCTCCTGTTCATCTGGCTTATGTCGGCCCGGCCACAGAGCCTAAGAGAGTAGAAGGAAGGTTCTCCTCCCATGCACCACTCAGCTTACAAGTGCAGGGGAGGGAAATGGTATCATCCAGTGCAGACACCTCCAAAGTGCTGTTTGAGGAAGAAAATACGAAAACTTCTGCTGACTTTTAACCATAGCCTTTAACATTTCTATTTTTTGAATGTTTTATGATATGCATACATAATATATCAGTGTTGTGTATGTGCACAATACAAAAATAATTAAATATACAGACAGCAGGTATACACACTCAAGCATTTTCACCGGCAGAGGTACGTAATACCTAATATGTATGGGCCTCAGTCTCCCCTGTGTAAAATGGGAGGGGACTACCTGATGCCGAGTGTAGAAAGAATATGTGCTTTGGCATCAAGGCAAAACTGGATTTGAACCAGGTCTCTGCCACCTACTAGCTGTGCAACCCTTGGACCAGTTCTTCAGCCTTTCTTAGCTTCAGTTTCATGTCTAATAAGGAGATAAAAATGCCTTCCTGCTGTAAGAAATATGAGATAATTCATCTAAAGTGTTGAGCACATAGTAAGAGTTTTATGTTCGTTCTTATTAAATATTTACATTGTTTACATAATTGATTATGTCTTTGAAGGCATCCGAAGCAGAGAACACACAATGTGGGTACATTTTTGTAAATAAAACACACTCTATTCCTATGGAAAAAACCATACTGAGGTGGTAGCACTGATAGTATTATCTCTGGCATTCTAATCTTTTCTGTTTTGAGGAGATGCACGTGGGGGAGAAACAGGGCTACTTACAGATGGGAAAGAGAGGTCAGGTCATTGAAGGAGCCTTCGGGAACGCTGGAGATGTCGTTGCCATGGAGGGTTCTGAAGCAGAAGCACAGGTCAAAAAGTTAACCCCCAGTAACAGCTCTGAACTCAGTACACTCTCTTGGCGTCCCAGGCTGGCCCAGCCATGCCTCTGAGCACGCAGAGCCCCACTGCCAGCAGCAGGAGGGGATGTCTCCTTCATGTCACGTGCACTGATGTTTCCGTGCCCAGATCAGCAGCAGGGATGTTGGGAGTAGAGGGTTAGGGAAAGACAAAGATGAATCAGACGGACTTGGGATGGAATCAGAAATCAGTCCCTTTCAGCTGCGGAACGTTGGGTGAGTTACTTTCCTTTTCCTGGCCTCCATTTTTGCACCTGAAACATGGAGACAGAGAGCAATCTAGTGAAGGCACTGGGGTTTCAGAGATAATGTGAAGAACTATGGTTGAGACCAGAAGTTCTGGAGCTGGGCTGTTTGCATTCAAACCCTGACTCTGTCACCTACCAGCTGTGTGACTATGGGGAAAGTTACTTACCCTCTCTGTGCCTTGGTTTCCTATCATAAAATGGGAATGAAAGAAGGTAAAAAGATTTGCCACAGAAGGTACCTTCGGTTGTGGGTGCACTAGTCCACGTAGAGCCTGGCATTTTCTAAGTACTAAATGGTTAACCTTATTAGTATTTGTAAAAGGTCTTGAACAATGCCTGGTACAGATCAAGAAACTGGTTCCCTTCATATTCACCTAGAGAGATTTTAGGGAGATTGAGAAATGCTATCAATCCCAGAAGACAAAGGGAAGGGGGCACACAGCTCCTGGGGAGACTCCCCGGAGCCGGACACTCATCTTTATGGGAAAGGGTGTGGCATTACCCACACACATACGTGGGTGTTGTTCTTGTGTGCACCTGAGTGCATTCTCCGACAGTGTGTCCGAGGGGCCAGGCAACCTGCTTGGCTTTAATCATGCCTCTCTCCACCCTGCGGTGTAATAGCTGGGAGCAATGCTCACTTGCAGGGCGGTGGCACACACTGAGCTTTCAATAAGTGCCTGGAGAACAGGTTTTTGAAAAAAATGGAAGGAACACGGCTCCGCTGCTCAAGCAACAACATGAGCAAATCCACAATTCGTGGGTTATACCCTCCATGGAAGGATTAGTCATCCACTGCATACAAAAAAATCCCCAAACTGCTGACTCACTTTGGGGCTGGCCCGTGAAATGCAAGGAGTGACATTTGTAGAAACTCAAGGGTTTCCTTAGTGGCTGCTGGGTACCGTCCCCTGGGCTGTGAAGGGAGCCCTAGTTAAACAAAGGGGGTGATTGACGTTGACTGTGAAAGTGTAAACAGGATAGTAACTTATGAATCTGCTCTTCTGTTTTCCTTTTAACTGATGTTAGCTCGCCCTGGGTCTTCGGCTGAAATATAGATGTGAGCTTAATTACACTTAATAATGAGCAGGGCCTCTCAAGCTGACTGAGCATCAGGGCTAATACACATGCAGATTTCTGAGGCCCATTCCCAGAGAGTCTGATTCAGTGGGTCTGGGGTGGGGCCTGAGGTTCTGCATTTCTAACACCCATGCGCCAGCGCCCCCCCACCCCAGATCCCTGGTCTCCCTGAATGGCAGTGTGAAAGCTCTCCTTGAAGCTTAGACAGCCAGGACAGCAGGATGAGGGTACCCAGTCCCCTAAAGAGTGTTCGTGGAAGCTTCTCACCTCCCTGAGTAAGAAGGGGCTCGAAGCTCTTCCTCACACTTTTATCCGTACCATTTAGTCTCTAATCCATGTGGTTATTTATGAATCACACCGGCTCCCGTCTGCTATTAACTTGGATGACTTCACGGCTGCTTGCTGTTTGGCGAACGCACCCAGCCCCGCTGTTAAGCATTTCCGAAGGCGGCTCGGGCCCCGGGAGAGGCACAAAGCCCTAATTTAAAAACACCAAATGACCCAAAGGCAGCTTTGGTACTGTGACCCCTGCAAGTCGCACTCCCATTTATTATGAGCTGATCCGCTGAGGTCTCTATAAACTGCAGAGTAAGGGGGCTGTAATTTACTGGGACAACGCTAAAGAAATCTGCCTACACTGCACGTTCTGGCTCCTGGTTTGGCCCCCAAAGAAGGACTCTTGCATGTCCAACCACCCTCCTAAAGGATGCCAGGGGAGTGGCACAAATGTGCCCTCCCAGGAAGCACTAAGCACTCCCCCTTTCCCTCTCCTTCTCCCTTACACCTCACAGGGAGCTGGTGCAGGCAAGCAACTCTGAACTGGGAATGACTCATCTTCAAGCATCCGGGACTCTTTTTTCCCTCCTGACTCTTAGGAGGTGTTAAGGCAGACTAGGGAATTTCAGGATGCAGATGAGGACATCATGAGAGCAACTGGAGGGCATAACCATTCCCTGTCAGTTCTGGGTTGCCTGAATCTGGGTCTCCGAATCTCTAGGTGCTCAGTTTGTATGATAGATGACGGGAACTATCCTCATCCTAAATGTGGGATGGGGTGGGTGAATTCTCTTCTGACCAACACAGGCCACTCCCAGGTGACCTGGGGTTTAAGGTCTGGAGTCAGACAGCCTGGGTTCGAATCCCGATTCTAATAATCACTGTCTGTGTGACCTGAAACAACTGACATTATTTCTGTGCCTCAGTTTTCTCATCTCTAAAATAGAGGAATTCTTAGTATCTACTTATAGTAGATACATTTTGGGGGGTATGGGTTGATCAACATCATTCTCCTCTTTTCTGTAACAGTTCCTCCCTCTTCCATTAGGGAATCACCCCTCCCCACTTCTGAGTCCAAGTGGTCTGGCCTCATGGGCAGAGCTATGGACCAGGTCTGCCCAATCGGAGTCACAGTGATTGGTTTGAGGTTGAGTATGTGACCTAAGTAGGCCACTGAGAGATATTTCTGGGGCTTTCCTTGGAACTACTAGGACAGAGACAGTTTCATTTTGAGAGGCAGAAAGAGATGTATTTCTGACAGTACCACTGGAGTACCTGCATCCAGCCATAGAATCTGATACCTACTACTGCATTTTTCAGTTACCTGCATCGATAAATTCTCTTTTTCTGCCTAAGGTGGTTTGAACTGATTTTCTTTCCCTTTAGTCAGGAAGGGATCTAATATACTGCTTCCTAAGCTAGGATTTAAAGATACAATGCAAGTGGTTCAGCTGGTGCAGGACGCAGTGCAGGGCCAGCACACGTAAGCCCTCACTCGGGTCAGCCACGATTATCGCAAGCATCGTCATGACTCCTTCCCCTCTGTGTTCTTGGACATATTTGGGGCCATTCCTCTCAAGGCGTTACCCGCTTAGAGTAGAAGCGTGAAGGTATGCAGCCCATCATCCCAAAGGAGCCCCGTGGAGGATTCCAGGAGACACACTGAACTTTGCCAGAGCTGCCCTGTGTCCATCACCTTTCGGCCCATGTCTTTCATGCCACCCCACTCATTAATTCTCATCCCAGGCCTCTCTGGGCAAGGAAAAAAACACTCCATTTTTAAAAAGGCCGTGTCCCTCGCCCACCCCCAGTCTTCAAGAAAAGTCTGAAATGAGAGGCAATAAAAATAGATGATAACCTATGACAGAGCAGGATGGAAGGTGGTAGAACACTGGGCTAGAAGCCAGGAGACGTGGGTTCCAGCCTTGGTTCTACTCCCACCTTACGACTAGTCGGCAGCATCTCCTCCTGTTCTCACACCCAGAAGCCACATTCCAGCCACACCTGGAGCTTCCTGTACATCCCACCTCTCCACCCCCATGCACATGCCCTTCCTGACTTCCAGGCTTCTGTCCAGTGCATTTATATTTTCCCTGCCTAGAATGTTCTTCACTCCCATCCGTATTTGGGTAACTCCCTCTGGCATCCCAGACTCAGCCTTGGGAGCAGAAGTTAAGTGCAGTGATTCTGAGAGGAAACAGTCTTGGGTTCAAATCCCAACTTCACTCTCTCCTCGTTGTGTCACTTTGGGAAAGCTACTCCATTTTGCCAAGCCTCTGTTTCCTCATCTGGGAAATGGGGATAATGGTGGTATAGTCTTCATAGAATTGATGGGAAGAGTGAATATGACAATGTAACTAAAGCAGTTAGCCCAGTGTGCAGTGCATAGTCAAGGTTTAACAAACGTCAGCAGTGATAACTCTCTCTCAAAGTCTTTTTGATGGCCAGTACTGGCCTCCATGCCTCTCACTCGTATTCCTATGGCCCTTTCACAGGCATCACCCTGTACTGTAGTTGTCTGTCTATTTCCCGTTCTAGACCGTGTGCTCTCTGAAAGCGGGAACTGTGCTACATTCACTATTTGTGCCCCACCCGCTGCGGTATTTAGCATAGCATTTAGCTCACGGTGGGCATTCAGGAAAGGATGAAGAAGTGAACGATGTTGAGCAAGTCGGTAAACCTTTCTGAATCTACCTCCTTGTCTTATAAATGAGTGGTTTGGACAGGGTTTCTGAGACTCACTCCCCACTTCTAAAATTCATAATTAAACTTTTTTTTTTTTTTGGTGGCACAAAAGGGCCAAACCGGGACCACAAGGAGTCACGTTTTGGCTCACCAGCGTCGCCTGATGTTCAACAGCTGGTCAAAAATGGAATGGGGCTGTCTGGGAAGCGAGCGAGCTCTTAGTCTCTGAAGGTAATCCAGCAAAAGGGCAAATGGAGCCCTTTGCAGAGATGCTGTAGGGAGGGTCCATGCAACCTGCTGAGCAGTGGTGCATAGCCGCATGTGCATACACAGCAAGCACAGTCTTATTTCAGGGAACAGGAGCTAAAAAAATACGGATGATGAATGATAATCCCGCTCGCTCCCTCACAAGCACACACTGACACAGTCCTGGCGCTAACTGATTCCAGGTGGCCCTCCTGCAGCTGGGGCCGGGGGGTGACAGTTGGGACCACACGCACACCAGGCATGTGGCTCGGCGCGGGGCAAAGATCAGGGAACACACAGATCTCCGAAAAAGGACTAGAACGTCCAGGAGGATGTTCTCTTCTGGCTATTTTTAGATTAGGAGTGAGGTAGGAGAAGCACATTTTCACACAAAGTTTTGTTCTCGAAGCTCCTTGACCAATATCCTGTCTCTGAAATGTATTCATATCCACCCACCAACACACACACACACACACACACACACTCTCCCCCTCCTTCTCTCTCTCCTTCCTAAATGTCAGGTCTTTCTTGCTGCTTTCCAGAACACTTTTTGGCCTTCGTCTGTGGCTGAACCTTGCTGCGTATCCTCCTTCCTCACCCCAAACTGCCAGCATCCCTGGGTCTCCGGTTATTTCTGAAATTCTAATCAAATTAGTGAAACCCATTAGAAATGAGAAAAGAATATACGAATGACCACATGCAGTTACAGGTACTGCCATTTCTGATTTCCAAAATCCTGTTTTGCTTCCCAACCGCCCAAATTATAAATCTGTTACTGCCTTCATTCATCTTTAACTCTGTCTTCATTTATGACAGAAATGATTTGATATTAGCCGTTAGCTACCAATGTTTCTTTTCATTTATGTGCCCATGTTCCCTTACAGTCCTTCTTCATGGTTATCAATGTTATAATTGATATGGTTACAGTTACTAGATAGCAGTGTGGAAACCTGTTTACCACATAGTGTTATGTGGAAAAATAAATCTGATTTGTATATGTTACAATTGTACATATATACAGTTATAATTGTAACAATATACAAATTAGGTTTATTTTTCCACATAATGCAATGTGGTGAACAGGTTCCCACTCTGCTATTAGTTTTCCTCTTTCAATAATTGCACTTCATCGACTGGTTGCATCACGCTTTACTTAAATATTTCCCCACTGTGGCCTTCTGGGTAATATTTAAAATTTAGGTTAAAAATAACAGCGCAACCAAGCTCTTAATGCAGAGAACCTTTCTCTCGTTTTGGATACCCTTTCGTAAAAATTCCTAGATGTGCAATTACTGGGAGAAAGGATACAAATACCATAAAAGAAACGCAGCCCATAAACATTTTAATTTTTCCTGCCTTGGCCCTTATGCAGAAAATGGTTGCTCCCCACTGAGGTAGACAGTTGGAATGAGGGCCTCTAAGATCCTCTTTTATCTACAAGAGCCCATGATTCTAAAATGATGGTGCGAAAAGCCTACTCACTCTGAATTCAAGAAGCAAGCACAAGTGTGTTGGATGTTTTATGTGGACTCCTGGTGAACTAATGACAGCACTGGTTCTGGAGTGACACCAACGAGGTGCTGAGGAAGGAGGAAATCCTGGACAGGGGGGTGATGTGCATCCCACCACCCTGGTAGACAGACGGATGGACAGGCAAACGTTCTCTTTCTCCCTTCCACATGTTGAGCTGTCCCAACCAGAACTACTCTAATTATGAACATAGGCTCACGGATCCCACTGAAATGGCAGGTAACACCCCCTGGCAGCCAAGCTATGCCCAGAACTGGAAGACTGGGATGGGGGACAATAGATTGGGATTGAGGGGGGATGGCGCGGGGGGGGGGCAGCAGATCCAGCCTCAGCCAATGAGATGAGCCCATCTCCTGTGGTGTTCAACTCGAAACAGGGAAATGGGTTCTGCTGATGTTTCCATTCTCGAGCTCCCCAGAGAAGATAGATAATAAAATAAGTGACAGTAACAGATTGCACACTGTCAGCACGGGTACTTCTTTGCCCCCCACAGAATTGATTTTTAATAACAGCACAGATGACATGTGGCGGGAGCTGTCGCTGACACTGGCGTTTTGTGGGCCTCAATAAATCACATCAGCCTGGAGGCTCCGAAATGGACCTGCTCATTGGGTGCTGTTTGCCGACCGTAACTGGGTCCTGGGAAGGATCCCGGGGCTCTGAGTCAGGAGGCTGGATTCTGCAAGCTCCTGACTGCTGAATCTTGGGCCAGCGACTTCACCAATCTGGGTCTCAGTTTTCCCATCTTTAAAATGGACATAACCCTCTCACCCACACAGCATTATGAGGCAATGACCGTGAAAAGCCCCATAAAATATGGTTTTCACTATTATAGTCATAATGGGCCAGAAGGGAAAGAAGTTGATAGGTTTGGGGGCAGAGTGTCTGGCATCTCTGTTCTCATGGGAATATCATTCCAAGGATCCTCCCTTGCCAACAAAACAGGTGCAAGATGGGCAGGCAGAAATATCAGGTGACAGTGGGCCCAGGGTTGGGGTGGCAGTGAGGTACCATTCCTGCTCCTGCAAGTGCTCGTGTGAGAACAGTCACAGCAAATGAATATAAAGTGTCTACCATGGGCCAGAGCTGTGCTAAGTGCTTTACGTACAGTATCTCATTTAATCCTCATAAGACCCTGTGAGGCCACTACCATCGTTATCTGATTTCATGATGAGAAGACACACAGCTAGGGAGGGGCAGAGCCATGCCTGGAAAGCAGGGGACTCCACGGCTATCTTGCCTTTGCTCAGAGCTCATCTGCCTCAGTTGGCTGTCCACTCCCCTTGTGTAGGCCAGGGCCAGGCAGGTATCATAAGGTGACAAGAGATGGGTGGGTGACGTGGAGGCTGCAGACTGCAGAACTCTGTTCAAAGGGGCAGGACGGCTCAGCCCTGCAGGAATGCAGAGGGGAGCCCTGGGAGGCCAGGTCTCTCCCTTTTCCAAGAGAGTGTAGAAATCGGGATTTATATGAGAAACCTCCTGATATTTAAATGTTGGCAACTTATTAAAACTTTAAGGATGCTTTATGAGTCGACTCGGTTGTGAACGGATGGTTACGTGTGTGCCCTGGCCGCTGGCTTCCAGCTTGGGCTCTCCGTTGCATGAGCCTGGTTTCCTTGCAGAGGTTCACAGTGTTAACATTGCCCTTCTGAAGCCAGAGGGACCACTTGTGATGTAATGATCATCAGAAGAGCGGCCAAGTGCTGCACAGTGTGCTCTGCTAGGGTGCAGAATAGAACTGCATAGAATTGCAGATCCTAATCCTTGCAAGGGATGTGCTATGGGTCCCATTTTGCACATAAAGAAGTGGGAACTCAGAGGAGTTAGTGATGTGTGCCAGGTTCCACAGAGGAAGTGAGCTGGAGCAGGGAGTGACTGACTCTTAAGCATGAGCTCTCTCCGCCCCATTGAGCAAATTAAGAGTGTTGCGTTAGGGGAGGGATGCATGGCGGGTAGAATGGGCTTTGAGCAAGGAAGAGCAGGCAACAGGAGTGCTCAGTCCTGCCTGCTGTTACCCAGCGAAGCATAAGTAGAAATCAGCGCACTGGGGTACTCACAGCACTCGGAGGGACCGCAGCCCGTTGAAGGAGTGGATGGGGATGCATCGCAGCCGGTTGTAGCTCAGGATCCTGTGGAAGAGGACACACAGGCTCTGTTGGTTCTTCCTATTCTTAGCTGCTGATACATGCATTGTCCACACTGGACCAGTCAAAGCAAACGGTTTCTTTACCCTCCCAATTTTAACAGACTGACAAAAAGCATCCTAGGGATAAGGGAAAGAGAAACATTCCCCATCACTCCAGGAAGCTCACTGGCTTCATTTCCCAGTTTCCTCATATGTTCCTTAGCTGGCTGGCTCCCTAACCAGCTTTGCCATCACCTTCGTCTATTGTCAGATGGTGAGTGCCCACAGTATACAGAGCTAATGGGAAATAAAGGGGTCTGAGCAAAATATAATTGTGTAGGGAAACCCTCACTGGGAGAGAAAATTCACAAATCACAGAAGGTATTCCAAAGAGGAACTTTTTCAGAAGTAATTAGGTGCCAACTCCTCTCTAACTGCCCAGACAGTGGAGTTCTGACCTACTGTTTTCCTTCTGATGATTAAGGTCTGCCCTGTGCTGGGTCAGCCACAGCCCTGAGGATCGCTAGAGCGGAGCATGTAAGCCTGAGGGGCCAGAGGAAGGATGCACTTAGTATCAGGCCCATGTTAATCCCAGCAGCTCACTGTACTCACAGGGTGGAGAGGTGAGACATGTTACTGAAGGTGTAGTTGGTCAGCGTGCCAATGCTGTTGTTGCTCAGGTCACTAGGAAAAGTAAGCAGAAGGGTCACATTGTACTGTTAGTTGCATCCAGAGGGGGTCATTCCCAACTTTCACACATGCATGCATGCCTGCTATCCATCCATCCACCCATCTGTCTGCCCGTCTGCCCACCCATCCATGCATCCATTCATCCATCCACCCATCCACCTGTCCATATGTCCGTCCACCCATCTGCCCGTTCATCTATCCATCCGTCCGTCTGCCCATTCATCTGCCCATCTGTCCATCTGCCCATCTGTCCATCTACCCATCCATTTGTCCATCCACTTATCTTCCCATCTATCCATCCATCCATCCATCCATCCATCCATCCATCCAACCATCCATCCATCCAACCATCTGTCCATCCGCCCATCCATCTGTCCATCCACTTATCCTCCCATCCATCCATCCATCCATCCATCCATCTATCCATCCACCCATCCATCCATCTATCCATCCACCCATCTGTCCATCTGTCCATCCATGCATCTGTCCATCCACCCATCTGCCCATTCATTTGTCTACCCACTCATCCATCCATCCACTGGTCTGTCTGTCCATACACCTATCTGCCTATCTGCCCATCCACCCATTCATCCACCCCCCCACCTTCCCATCCATCCATCCATCCATCCATCCATCCATCCATCCATCCATCCATCCATCCATCCATCCATCCACCCACCCCCTCCATCCACCTTCCCATCCATCCATCTGCCCATTCATCCACCCATCCGCCCGTCTATTCACCCATCTACCCATTCATCTATATATACATCCATCTGTCCACCCATCCATCTGTCTGCCCATCCATCCACCCATCCACTCATCCTCCCCATATGTCCATCAGCCCATCCATCTATCTGTCCATCCACCCATCTATCATCCATCCATCCATCCGTCCATCCGCCACCCATCTGTCCATCTGTTAGCCCAGCCGTCCATCCATCCATCTATCCACCCATCCATCTATTCACCTATCCACCCATTAGTTCAAATGTTCATTTTTTTACTGAAGATTTATTCAATCAGTCATTCCACCAACTGTCGTTCATTCATTCATCTATTTATTCAGTTATTCAAACATTCAGTGGTGTCTATCCATCGATTTGATTCTACCAGCAAAACATAACACGTAAGGTAACAATTTCTCCTTGTTGTAGTGCTTTTCCCCCCTGATCAATTCTTCTCCTCATAGCCCCTCCACCGTCCCTCTCTTCCAGCATTCATTTATTCCATCTTATCAGATTCTCTCTTGGGGGAATGAGGTTGGTGGGAGTGTGGTCCTTTGCCAACTGCAAGCTCCAGCTTCTCCCCGAGGATAAATATCCAGGGCAGTGGTTTTCAGCATCAGCTGTACATTAGCATCATCTGGGGAGCTTTAGTTCTCTGAGGCCTAGGTTTCATGCCCAGATATTCCGATTTAATTGGTGTAAGGCAGGCTTGAGCATCAGTATTTAAAAGAAACCCCAAACTACTGTGATATATAATCAGCTGAGGTTGAGGGCCATTGCTCCGGGGCTCCCTGCCCCCTAAGCAGATGGGGCACCTTTCAACAGCACTTGCCCAAGGATCCTGGGTGCCCTCTTGGCAAGGCAGTGAGGGACAAAGCTCAAGGACTCCCCAGCTTCCTGGGCCCCGCCCATGCCCAGCAGCCCTGCTCCTCATTCAGAGGTTTTCCTGGGTTTTGGCCGACTTGGAGCCAGGAGCGGCTCCCACCTGAAAGAACCTCAATTGGAACCAGCTGCTCAGAACATTTTCTGAGTAACTAAAGGAGGAGGAAGAAGAAATGCCAAATTTATGCTTTTGGCAAACCTAAGTACAGCCACAGCTTGCAAGAAACTGAGGGATCTCGGGAATTTAATTGGAGACCAGAAGGTCAGAGGCTCCAAGCCAAGGAGGAAGGTGCCACAGGTGACCAATGAGGCCAGGATCTGGGTACTTCTGCATGAAGTCCTCACTGGGTAAGACCTGGCACATCCAGCCAGCCCATCCTTCCCAGCTGCCTCTTGCCGCTCCACCCAGGGGGAAAAGTGCAGGAATGCCCCAAAGCCTGCAGCGCCGCCCTACCCACCCTCTGCATCAGTTTCCTGCGCTCCCTAACGACAGAAAATGAAATATCCCACCAACGCTGGGCTCCTTACATGAGTGTCAGGTGTCGGAGGGTGGGCAGCTCCTTGGGCACGGCTGTTAAGTGGTTTCCTTCCAGGTACCTGAAAGAGAGGTGCAGAGTCACGTCGGGCAAAGAGACAATGCGCACACTGCCATTACCTCAAGATGCCTCCTCCGACTTCCCAGGCTGGACTGGGTCCCTGTTTTGCTCTCTCATGGCTCTTTTTTCCCCCACTTCAAAGCATATACTACATTTGTCATCTAATATTTATTTGTGTGATTGTTCAATTAATGACACTTTTCCCCACTGGGCTGCTAAGCTCCATGATGGCAGGGCTCTTGCCTAAAATTGCCCAGGGTTGGAGCCCCCTAAGACTGTGTACAGAGTGGCACACAGTAGGTGTTCAATAAATTATTTCTTGAATAAAGCACCCACTTTATATCTGGCCTGCACAATACCCTTACACGGCAGGGATTCACAGTTGAGAAAACAGAAGTTCAGAGATGTTAAAACGCTTGCCCAAGGTCACACAGCAAGTGGTTCAGTTAGGACTTGAACCCAGGTCTCTCTGACTGCAGTTTTATCACAGTTCCAAATGGCCTCTATTTAGCTACCGGGGTGTGTGGAGAGCTGAGCCATTAAGAACCCTAATTCCGTATTGAGTATCTCTGATATGCATCTGGAAACTGAGGAGACAGGGCATGTTCCTGGAGCCCTGTGCTACAGTCCCCAGCAGGAGGACCACGTGCAGAACGGGACGGGGTTCAGAATGAGGCCGCACCCACAGAAGGAGACCCCTCCTGAATGGGCAAAGGCTGAGCCTAGACCTGCCTGGACTGCGGGCTTCTGTGCCAACCTGCTCATCAGACACCCGAGCGTGGTTGAAGATAGACAAGGAAGTCGTGTTTTGATGATGAATTACAAACGTTATGACTACCCTAAAGAGGGGACACGGGCTGATTCATTTATCCCCACCCTTGCTGTAGACCCCTTTCCCTAGGCTGCCTGTTGCTCTCAGGACAAAATAGCAAAATCTTTAAGATGGCTTATAAGGTCTGCTCTCATGTCCTGGGGGAGTCTCCCTTGACATAAAGCTCGCATAGCTTCCTCTCCCATAGTCAACATCCAGCTACTGCTGTTCGTTGGTGCCGTGCCTGCCTCAGCCTCCACGAAGGCAGACCCTAGGTCTACCTTTTTCTAGCTCAGGGCTTCTTAAACTGTAATGTACATATGAATCACCTGGGATCTTGCTAAAAAGCAGATTGTGATCCAGCAGGTCTGCCATCAGGTTGGAGGGTCTGCATCCTTGATAGGCTCTTGGGAGATGGTGGAGCTCATTCATGGTCTACAGGCCACATTTTGAGTAATGAGGTGCTAGCACACTGCCTGGCATCCAGCAGACCCAGCACAAAATGACTGAATGGGATGAAATGGGTTAAAATACAATATGGGTAAGTGTGTCACAACGACCAAACCGGGCTCAGCTTTAGGGACAACTTGTCCTTATCTTACCTTAAAGGTAAGGCATTGGGCATTACCTTAAATTAAGGCCAAGTGACTTTATTCCCCTGGCTGGCCCTGAGGGATCCTCGTGGCACAGAACATTGGGCAGGACCCCACACGGCCTCTGGTTGCCGTGGCATGTTGGATTAATGTCCCTTTGGTCCTCAATCTTTGTTGTATACGTATTGCTCTAAGAACTATGCTAGATGCTGGGGGAGATACAAAGATGAACCAGACCCCATTTCTGCCTTCAGGGAGCTTGACCATCTGACTTAAAATTCAGCCGCGCACGCGTTTAGATTATGCCCTCAGGCAGAGGAGCTAAGAGAAATGTATTCACTGATGTAGTCATTTATTCAGGCAGAAATATTTATTGGGCAACTGCAATGTGCCAGGTACCGTATATACTGGTGAATAAGAGGGGTGGTGCCTATTTTCTGGCATTTAAAAATCTAATGTGTGTGTGGGAAGGAAGGAGGGAGAAGGGAAGGAGAGAGAGGGAGAGGGAGAGGGAGAGGGAGAGGGAGAGGGAGAGGGAGAGGGAGAGGGAGAGGGAGAGGGAGAGGGAGAGAGGGAGGGAGAGAGAAGGGACACACACATAAAGTAATATAACTTACAAATTGCAATGTGTGCTTTGAAGGAAAGGAACAAGGTGTAGTGACAGACAATGCCCAAAGCTTCCTGCAGAAAGATGCAGCCAAGGAGGAGATGCAGCATAGGAGACTGCAGCCTGGGGAGGGCCCTGAACTTGAAGGAAAGGCTGGGGAGGCCAAAGTCTGGTGGGTGAAGAGAGGACAGCGGGAGGTGGGGCAGATCACACTGTGGTCAGTTCATTCACCTGTCAGAATGGCTATTGTCAGAAAGGCAAGAAACAACAAGTGTCTGCAAGGATGTGGAGAAAAGGTAGCCCTCGTGCACTGCTGCAATGTAAAATGGTGCAGTCACTATGGAAAACAGTATGAAGCTTCCTCAAAAAACGAAAAATTGAACTACCATACATCCAGTAATTCCACTTCTGGGAATTTATCTAAAGAAAACGAACACACTAATTTGAAAAGATACATGTCCACCCCCAGCTTCCCCGGTAGCGCAGTGGTTAAGAATCCGCCTGCTAATGCAGGGGACACAGGTTCGAGCCCTGGTCCAGGAAGATCCCACGTGCCGTGGAGCAACTAAGCCCGTGCGCCACAACTACTGAGCCTGCGCTCTAGAGCCCGCGAGCCACAGCTACTGAGCCCACGTGCCACAACTACTGAAGCCCATGCGCCTAGAGCCCGTGCTCTGCAACAGGAGGAGCCACTGCAATGAGAAGCCCACGCACCACAACGAAGAGTAGCCCCGCTCGCCGCAACTAGAGAAAGCCTGCGCACAGCAACGAAGACCCAACACAGCCCAAAATAAAATAAATTTATAAAAAAAAGATACATGTACCCCAATGTTCATAGAAGTCTTCTTTAAAACAGCCAAGCCATAGAAGCAACCTAAGTGTCCATCAGTAGATGAATGGATAAGGAAGATGTGGTATATATACCATGGAATACTACTCAACCATAAAAAGAATGAAATTCTGCCATTTGCAGCAACATGGATGGACCTAGAAGGTATTATGTAAGTAAAATAAGTCAGACAGAGAAAGCCAAATACTGTACGATTTCACTTAAATGTGGAATCTAAAAACCAAAATAAAGCAGAAACAGACTCCCAGGTACAGAGAACTGGTGGTTGCCAGAGAGGAGGGGGCCAGGGGACGGATGAAATAGGTGAAGGGGATTAGGAGATACCCATTTCCAGCTATAAAATAAATAAGTCACGGGGAGGAAATGTACAGCATAAGGAATACAGTCAATAGCACTGTATATGATGATGGATGGTAACTGGTCTTATTGGGGTGATCATTTCATAATGTATAAAAACATTCAATCACTATGTACCTGAAACAAATACAATATCATATGTTAATTATAACTCAATTTTAAACCCCCCCAGACTCCCTAAAAGACAAAGTGCAAGGAGAGGCCATGACTGCAGACAGGTGCAGGGGCCGCGTTGTGGAGAGCTTCCTGAATGCCTCTCGCCCAGCATCACCTGCAGGACATTTACATTTTGTGTGGACACTGGCCCTGCCCCTCATCAGGTGATGGCGGGTGGAGGGGCAGGCATCTGAGGGGAGGCTTCCAGCTCTCTCCGCTGGGCAGGGAGGCTGCAGGCATGGTGGGATTCCGAGGTCTATGCAGGCTGAAGGAGGGGAGACAAGCCGTGCTGGGCCGCCACCTGGTCACCTGCAGGAAGTGCTTTGTGGATGAGTGGCATGGAGGGAAGCTGGGAGGCGGAAGCTGGATGAATGAGCAGGGCTGCTGGGGAGGCGCTGGTCCAGAGAGCATCTCTGCTAGAGGGAGACTAATTAACCCCAGAGGAGGGAGCAGCCTGAAGGAGTCTGGCCTCAGCCTGGCAGCACTCTCTCACGCTCTTCCGCTTCTCATTCTCTGACTCTCTCTCGTTTGTTTGCTACAGTTACTTAGCAAACTTGAGGCATCTAAGCTGAAACCCAGAAGAAAACAGCGAAACCCCAAGTCTCCTTGCTGGGGTCTTTTTAGAAGACCCTGTGGCAAGTACATCGGAGGGTGGGCCTATGGCTTGGGCTTGCTGTGTGGCTTGCTGTACGTTACTCAACCTCACAGACAGCACAATGACAAGGACAATAACAAAACCAAGACAAAATTCACCGGCATTAGCTGAGGTGTACATGCCAGTGCTTTGGGAGAAAGACTCTGGTCTGTTATCTCCTTTAATCCCCTGGCGTTGGGGGGTGTATTTTGCTGGGTATATTTGTCCATTTTGTTGGCAAGAACACTGAGGCGCAGAGAGGTATAAACAGGGAGCTCAGGAGTTGGGATCTAAATGCACATCTGTTGGACTCCAGAGCCCGAGAAGTCAGCCCTCACTAGAATGTAAGCTGCATGCAGCTGGGTGTTTTGCCAGTTTTGTTTCCTGCTGTATCCCAGAGCATAGTATGCTCAGCTCATGGTAGGGCCTCAAATATTTGTTGAATGAATGAATGAATGTGGTGAAAGGCTGTTCACAGGACCTTGGATTAAAAAGACAAAAACCTGCAGTGGTGTCAAGGAGTGCCCTTGGCCTGGCCTAGCTCCATCTGCAGGGCAGGCCGTGCTCCACAAATGCATGCACTTGCAAAACAGTTGAATAAATGCACAAATGACCACTGGGATTCAGGGATGCTGACAGCATCCTCATCTGACACAGGGAGGTTCAGGACCCTGGAGGATGGGCAACACGACACAGATGATTCTGCAGCCTCTGGAGCCTACCATGCCAGGCGCCCTGGGCTCTAGCCTGGCTCTGGTTAGGACTATGCTGATTATATCGGCCTCTCTCCCTGCTTAAAATCCTTCCCTGTCTTCCACTGCTTGTTGGAGAAGGGCTACCCAACACATGCTCAAATCCTGCAAAGCCTTCTGTGGTCTGTCCTGTACCAGTCAGGATTCTCCAGAGAAACAGACCAACAGGAAATACGAATATATTACATATACACATATATTAATACATACACAGGGGGAGGGGGAGGGGAGGGGAGGGGAGGGG